TGTTTCCAACGTAACAGCAACGAGAGATTCGGATCCATTTTCTATATTAACCAGCCGGCGATCGATGTCGAAACTGTAACGTAAAACGCGCTCAATTGAACGTTGTAAATATTAGTTTTACATAACAGCTGCGTTCTGGAGTTCCTAGCGCGTGCCTCGAGCCACGGATAGCATTATCCAGGCGCTAGCCTAACGACAACCATAAAAATTTTCATAAATATATCGAAAGTAATAAAAATCGTTAACGACGATCTCGAGATGAAACAGGTCGAAGTGCATTGTGTCGCGCGCCAAGCGTCTTCTTTAAATACACATTTTGTTATGAGCCTATTAGGAAGCTCCGCGAATAATCGGTAACGTTCACTGAATTAATTTATGGACTTCGAAATTCGAGCCGCCCTTCGAACTTTCGACCGACGACTTTCAGTTTTTAAGTTCCACTTTCACGATATCTGAATATATTCGCGATTCGCGAACGAGAGAAAGGCGAGGACGGATCGGCTCGTAAAAGATTTCACCGTGTCACAGTAACGAATCTAGGATTAGCATACAATCGGGGGGTATAAAAGATTTGGCAACGACTCATTGGGCCTAGACGCTCGTCGAAAGCGGCTGGAGTGCAGCGAAGATACGAGCAAAAACTGACTCAACCGATTTTGTAACGTCGGGAAGCCTTGGCCCGTTGGCGGCCGTTTGAAATAGAAACGAGGAACTCTTTTGTCCGGTCGCAACCCTACTTCCTTATCTGATGGAACGTCGTCGATTATTTGTTAATACGTGTTTCCAGATGCGTAGAAAATCCACGACCCTGAAACGCTCGTTGGAAATTTCAGGCCAGAGGAATAGACTCCAACGAACGCATGAAAGACACGTTCGGTCGGAAGCGTGTACTGTTTGTTTCCGCGACTCGTTAATGGAAAATAGTTACCGACACGTCGTTCCGCGAAAAGGATGGACGAGTGTCCGCAGGCGGTCGGTCGAATTGAAAACCACGCTGCGTCGATTTTGCAATGGTAATGCATTTTCCGCGAAACAATATTCTCGGTGCTTCGTGATAATGCACAATTAAACGAAGCTATACTACGCGTCGTCGAAACGGTTACAAACGCAGGGGTAATCGTGAAATAATCGATAGTGTTGAGTAAACGTTGCAAATAAAAAAAGATCGACACGTTTCACGGGGAATTGCAACAGCGTCTCGTTTAGTTTGGTTTATTTAGAGGCACGGCGGTTTCCTCGGATAAACCGGTAGCGGAACCATCGTTGTACGCGAGCCCTGGAAAACAGTTACGTGGTCAACCGGTAATTGTGTCCACCCGATAATATACATTTGGAAAATAAATAATCGAGCTCGCGTTTCCTCGCCATCTACTTACGTAAATCGATCGATCGATCGCCCGTGGGCTTTGATCGCGTTGCATCCCTGAATCGCTCGGGGGACAGTTTTTATCGGGATCGAGCCTTTCCTAGATCGCGAGGGATTCTTTCTTCTCTGGAACACCGCCGCTTACGAAATCGACAAAAGAATCCAACTATTGGCGAGTGGACAAGCCGATCGCGCGAAGAACCGACCACTAAGAAAGATTATCCCGCCGGAGAATCGACGAAAGCGGAATCAAATCGCGCATGAAAGTTGATGTTGCGTAACGTCGAAAGTTCCTCCGTGTATATTTTTGATAAAAGTCAAATGTGCTGTTAATATCGCGGTTCGATGAGGACTACTTTATCGAACGGAGAGTCCGAGTTTCCGGCGGCTCATGTAACTCCTACGACCAGCACAACATCGGAAACGTCGCGAAAAGAAACGGAACGGGATACAGATCGAACATATTTCTTAATTACTATAACATTTTAGTCGGGGGAAACTCGACGTTATCGCGTACACTTTGCAAATTCGTTTCTCGATCCGAGTATTCTCTGCCTCGTCATCGACTAACGATCCCTCGTTCCTCTCATTTCTGTCGTTCAATTCGCTGACATGTAATGAGCGGAAACGTCGTAACGAAACAAACTGCAACGACGTTTGTAATTCGCGGGAATGCAAGACAAATCGTGCGCACAATGGCGCTTCTTGGTTAATAAATGAACTTCTACCGTGACTTTATAATGTCATGCATGTTTAAATGATGCAAAGTGACTGTGGCTCGAAGTAAACTAATTTCTACAACATAATAGAGACAGTTTCTGTTCCCCCAGGTTGCTGAAACGTAATAGTTCTCGAGTGGCACATGCAAATACGGAGACCATCGTCGGTTTCCGTGAGAGCCGTGACTCGGTGTGTTTGAACAGTTTTAAATTTGCATACGATCGTTAGACGAGTCGTTACTCCCGCCCATGGAAAGCAATATACAGGCGAATTAACTTCGTCGCGTTAGATCCACGGATCGAAGGACGCGATGAATTCGAAGAGTTTACGAACGAGTTCAAGGCGGTCGATTCAAGTTTCCTCGATGACGGGTGTTTCTTAACGAGTTTCCGCCAAGCTCATCGGGTACTAATTGCTTTTCTCAGGATTCATTACCAAACCGTTGCGAAACATCGACTAATTATCGTTGAGAAGAATTCGAAAAATCGCCGATATCTCCCGATCGACAATTTCGAAACAAACACTGTGATTTGCGTCTGTCAATATTGGAACACGTGCGCTCGTGTCACGCTGAGACTTTGGAAACCTTAGAACTTACTCAGAGAATGTTCAGTAGCTGCGAAAATACAAATGCAAGCACAACGCTCGAACAATCTTTTCCTTTCGTAATTCTGAATATACAAGTGTCGGGGCACGACTATTGCAAACGCAAAACTTTACGAGATAGTCCTTTGTGTTAGGATATTACTTTATCCCAGATGTTTAAACGAGCTACCATAAACGTTCGAATATTCTCGCTTCCTCGTATTACATCAAATTCATACCATTAGTTTGAATTTCATCTATCGAAACGAACATACCAAGCGTAACGACTTTCTCGTCGCTTTGTGCTTCGAATCGATTCAATCGACAAACAAATAAGTCATCTTGATTAAATTTATGATTCCTCGACATTCCTGAACATTCGACGTTGGTTGGGACATTTTTGGCAGCCACAGGCTCGATAGAACGTGACGATTTCTTTGCTAATGATTAGCGACGCGCGTCGTACGAGCTGGTTTCGCCGAAGCGTTTCCGTCGCATTGTGTTTTGCGATTCGAAAAACGCTCTCGAAACGGAGACAAGATTGAGAAATTTGCGTAAATACGACGCGAGCGTGCGAATTAATCCCGTCGCCGCCGCGATTTCGTAGTTACGAACAATTGGACGGCGATCTGGAACGAAAGTTTCGCGCTTCCAGGTGCACCGCGATGCAGATCGACGAGATCCGTTTGGGATCTTAATGGCATTTTCACTGGATGGTGCCAGCGACAAGGTCGGTGAAGCAGTAAACGAAACTGGAAACGTTTCTCGGTGAAAGCACGTCCACCGGATTATCCAGATAAATCCAATTTACGCGGTGGCTCGTCAGGGACTTGCTCACGAATAATTGGAGGAAAGTTCCTTTTGGGATGCTCTAATTAGGCGTTAGGAACCTATTGTTTTGGGTAGCGATCCGCAGCAAACGATAACTGCAGCGAATCGCGTGAATTTACGTGTCTGCGGGAACTAAATTTCAAAGGTGGCAGGGAACGATTAAATTCTCGCGGTCCCAATGAATTTTTAAAAGATAATGACTCGATAAGCGTGGATTTGAGGGACCTTTCTGCTCCAGATAATTTCTGACCGGAATTAAGTACGGAGACGTAACGTTACGGACGATGTCCGCTGAAAGAATGATCAACTTTCATAAATTGTACCAGGGCTTTATATAGGTTCGTAGTCCCTTCTGCGCGAATGGGGCAAACAACAACCAGTTCCATAATCATATACAACAGCGAAAATCAAGGATTTCGTTCGGTGTAACACGCGTGCAACTATGTATTCAAATACGGGAGCGTTTTTTTATACCTTAATGAATAATAAAGCGCTTCCTTCAAAGTGGACGCGCAAGCATTTGCTAATTGAACGTAAACATTCGATGGTCTTTGGCAGAGGATTACAAAACACAATTCTCTGCGATGAAAGAATTCAATTAAAAATGTAATTCATTTAACAATTTTATTCGCCAAATAAAAACAAAAGAACTGCTCTATCTAGGGTAATAGGACAAGGTCCAGAGAATGAGGCTGCTTCGGAAATTGATCCTCGCTTACGGTGTAATTTAAATATAAGATGAACTGAAAGATTCTGCAATGCGCGAGAACCATTCAGAAAATGGAAAATTTTCTTATTCTATTGCAAAGAAATATCACTGGCATTTAAAATTATTTCCTATTAAAATACGCATCGTTGAACAGGTTGGCTATTATTATATTAAATCGTAATCTTCCTTGTCCCCGAACAACGTCGGTGATGACGTTTCCTCACAAAATTATAGACGGCTTTATTGCATGTACAAACATTCTTGAATAATTTGGGCTCAAAGTTCCATCCGCATCACTCAGACATAGCGATTTATTTTGCATAAAACATTACCATACAAAGATCTGTTGATCCTTCTCAGCGCTCCCCAGCATTAGTTAAGAGTCCTCTGCATCGTTCGATGATTTCCATTAGCTTCCTACTGTATCTACTCACCTGTTTTTGTGGCTTAAAAATATTGCAATCCAAACGATCTATTCCTTTAAATTGTTATATTCCATGGTACTTCAGATTTAAATGCTTGATGAAAGACTAAAAAAACAAATGCCAAACGATTGTCCATCGAGCCGACCACGGAGGCCTCGGATCGCTATCGATCGACGGGATCCACGCTTCCGTTCATCTTCACGGCCGGATTCGAGGATCTCTTTCGACGGCCGGATCGATGCTCGTCGACGATCCCTCTCTTCAGCATCGCGCGACGGCGTCGGCGAGCAGAGAAAGAGGAAAAGAGAGGACGGAGGCTTAAGTGTAGCGTGGAGGTGGCGCCAGGCCCCTCCTTCTAATAAAAGCCGCTCACTAAGCTCCGTTACACAGACAGTCACAGAAAAGCCGACGAGAGCAAGAGCCGCCGAGAGCTCCTTTTGGGTCCTCTTTAGAAGCGGCCAGTCGAAAAGTTACCAAGTGACGGATTAATAAACGGTGTGTGGTGAGTTCCTAGACGAGCGGCGCTCTCGGTCGCGGTTCGCGCGATTCGGTATCGATCACGAGGAATAGGACCACGTGACGGGGTTCCTGTCATCAGTGTGGAAACCGTCTAGCTTCCGGTATTTCGAGCGAAAACCTAGACGCCGGGACTTCCGTTGAACGGAACCGAAGGCTCGACGGGTTGTCCCGTGTGCAGAGTGTTCGAGCTTCCTCCTCGAGTTCCCGTTCGATGAACAGTGGTTTCCCGGTGCTGCAGGATCGCAGAATCGTCGAAGTGAAAATCTTCGCCAAGTGGTTCACTAGCAAGAACGACGAGCTCGAGGAGAAACTCGAAACTCGCTAAGTCCGAGGAGAATAAACGTTTTGACGTCGTACTGTGACGTTCCCCACGTGTCAGTCGTCTTTCGACGTTGCTTTTCTCGCGATCGTTTCCTTTATCGGGGATCCACGGTTTCGGGAATAGAACGCTTGCGACAGTTTTTAGTTCCGGTCGAAACGGAGGCGCCGAGAGGGAAGCAATAATTAATTATTCGAGTTCAGTGTGCGCAACAACGGGCTTTGTTTAAAGAAACTTGCTAATCTTTGACCTCAAACGCGCAAGGTTGCACCATCGACTAACTGGAAGACGTGCGTACTGAATCTATATTGCCTCGACGCGTTGCCATTGTATTCTGGATGCTCGCCATTGCAATTATAGACTCGATCGGTAGCCGAGTCCCATTTCAATTTCTGATTTCCTCGCCGTGCGATGAAAATTAATACCGTGTTTAATGAAACGATCGCAAAACACCGATCGACGGGATTTTTCTATGCGAACCGGTGACCTAGAAACGTCCATTTAGCGAACGATACATTTAAAAGAGTCTGGAGCCGCACGTGTCAGGGGAATTGTCGAGTATTTGGTCAGCCGTCGTTGCGTCATTGATCTTCGGTCATCTTTGCGTCATCGAACTACGAAACGAATCAGAATTTTTATTTCTCCTTTCCTCGAGACGAGCCGGACATCGAATTAAATTACAAATTTTAATAAATTAACCATTCCAAATGAATTTAATTGGCATTCGAAGAGCTAAGTTAATTGTAAAACACGACGGACCATCTTTCCTCGAGAATCTCCGGCGTCGAGGATGCCAACAGCATTCTCGACTTTCATTTCGTCGAAAGTGATAGTTCCGAACGTATCCATGCTCGGGAAAGGAGAGCCTCCCCTCTCCCCGATGATCACATCGACTCCTTCACCTTCTCGTCTTTGTCTCCAGAATCCTCTCGAAACATTTCCGGCTCATCATGACGAATTTGCAAAAATTCCGACGTTCGCGAATCCTCCATTCACGAAACTATATTTCTTGCAGATACACTCTCCTAAACAAACATGAAGTCCACATGCATCATCTTGGCGACTGCGCTGTGCGTGGCTTTGGTCAGCTCGAATCCGCTTCCCGAAGGAGAGCGCCTTCGGTCCGAGGTAAGCATCTCAAAAAAAAGATCCTCCGTCCACGAACGTTCTTGACTCGCTGTTTGCTTAGTATTTAGAATGTACATATTCTTAATTCGACGCTGGAACAGCACGCGAACACTGTCTCCGTGTCGCAGAGCAGCTCGAATTAATTCCCTCCACATTTCCAGGGGAAAAACGCGAAGAATTTGAAACGAGTCGCGTAAATCGAAACGAACCCTTTCGCAACCAGAGGCGCCCAAGGCACAAAATTAGTGCAAACTGGGCAATAATTCAACGTGTTCGCACAAGGGTCTCTGTTATAAGAATTCGCACGTGTTTATATGGATCTCCCGTTGAAATCGTCGATGGTCTTCGATCGGTCATCCTCTTTAGCCCCGGAATCGGAGAAAGTTTCGGTTTCCGTTTGCAAAATTCGCCGTTCTACGGCGACAAGCACGAGCGCGGTTAATTGCCGCGTTAACCGACGATGGAAGAAACGTCGGGGCGTCGATCGTTGCGAAAGTTCTCGCCTCGACTTCAATGTCCTGTAAAAGAACCGATCGTTGGACCGAGGCGATCGATTCGGTGATCGGAGATGATGTTTCACTTTCGACCGGGGCCTCTTTCACTCGTACCGAGCGTTACGACCGCGCGCGGAACACACGCGACAGAAAAAAACGCTCGCGATTGTTATCCGGCAGTTTGCTTTTTGCCGTTTTACAAGCGAACGCGTAACGTTCGCTAGTTCGATCGCTCGGCTTCCATTTCAAAGGCGAAAATATTCCCAGCAGTTTCCTGTCGGCCGGCAGTGATTTCTCCCAACTTCTAACGCTCCTCTCGATTCGATGAAAACTCGTCTAGCGTCGGGGATTTGCTATTCCGATGACCTTCGCGTGGTTAGCGTAATTACCGGTGTAAATATTTAAATTGCCAGGACTGACATTGACATCGTCTCTTCGACGAGATCGAATCATTTTATGCCCGGCATACCAGCGCGAGTATTTGCAATTTACGGCTCGGAATTAAAAATAATTCGGCTCCCTTGCGTTTCCTCGTGGAATGCTGTCGAGCACGGACGTCGAGTTTGGTCACTTTCTCGTTGCCTTTCCTACCGTGCAAGCGTTCGGGTTCAAAATTGCATTCGTATAGTTTTGGGATCCGTTAAAAAGTCTGTCGTAAAGAACGTGGTTGCTAAAACCGGAAGGTCGTCGTCGAGACTCGCGCGTCATGGACGAAAGTCTCGCGTTTCCTGGCGAAAGAATTTTTCAGTGGAAAGGTTGGGCGAACCGGGCCAGGCAGGCGAGTATCGAAACAGTCCGTCGAAAAGCTAGGACGTCCAACCGGCTCTCTTCTTCGGCTCGACACTTTCACTGGCCGCGAACACTCGCAGAGTTACGGCGAACACTTTCTTCGCTCGATCGATGCCGAATGGAAAGCGCACGCGTAAGCGTGCACGCATTCACGTGCACGCGTCTTTCAACCTCTCTCTGATCTGTGATTCCCAAGGCACCGTGCTCGACAGTGGTTCCCAAACCTCTTTGCCTCTTCTGATCGAGCTACAGTCAGTGGTGAACCTTTTCCCGGTCGATTTATCGATCATTTCAAAGCACAGATCGAAAATATCGGTCGACGACAAGCGCGAGTCTGAACACTGCGCGCCAATTCCGGAGACTTCGATGCGTGGTCAAGCGCGATTCTGAGGAGACTTCGATGCGTGGTTAAGCGCGATTCTGAGGAGACTTCGATGCGTGGTTAAGCGCGACTCTATTAAGACTGGTGGGCTTCTAATCGAATTATGTATTTGCTGATTATTCAAACGTTTCGAATTATATTTGAATGCTTGAATTATACAAATACTTAAGTACAGTATGAATTGGCGTTTCCTTAAAACGTTTCGTAATAAAAATAGCAGAGAGTAGGTTACAAGGGGAGGCTGGTTTTTGAAAGTACACCGTGGTACTTCCTAGATCCTCCTGTTACGGGAGGATCGATTATTCGAAAGTGGCCGATCTGTTCCCTTTTGAAAGCAGCGTGAAATTGCGAGATGAAGTCACTAGAGCGGAGATCGCGATGGACGAAAAAATTGCTGTGAATGTAAATGTAACGTGTAGGAAGAAATATCGTAACAGGCCGGTCGAATGTGAGGGGAGTTTGAGGGAAAGTGAACCGTGGCAACCGGGTTAAGCAACTTTTGAGTCCGATGACCGTCCAAGTGTCCAAGACGGCTCGATTAATTTGTTGGTAAATTTTTCTCTCTGTTGTTGCAAAACACGCTCGATTCTAGGGCTCGGTTTTACACCGAAATAGAACATAAACCAGCAAACAGCGGAGCGAACTACCCAATAATCGACACTTTGAACCATAATGGAAAATTCCGTTCTTTGTATTCTTTTTGCACGATACGAGAAATTTACTATAAAAACACTTTCAGCGAAATAAGTCGAAAGCGCCGATGACTGGGTCAGCATCGAAATTAGATAGACGAATTCTTTGTAAATTCTTTCGATGCTCCGTTTCACTTTACGGACAACGGTCGCTCGTAACAGAAACGCGCGCGTTCCGCTCAAAACTACGTATTGTAGTAACAAATTGTAGCGGCACTAATGCACCATTCCTCTAATAATACGCAATCGCATCGTTTAACTCGGTAATTCTATTTGAGTTACCGTTGGACGCAACTTTACAGCTCGGCCGTTCAACGGAATTATTTTTATCGCTCTCGCGTCTCGGTTCGCAGCTAAATGACCAACGCGCCGTAAACTTCGTACAGACTCGATAAAGATCCTTCCGACATGACGCTGCCCTCTACTATCTGCTGCCGTTATTGCACAACGACGTTAACTTACTCTCCCAGCCACTTTCAACGAGCTCCCAAACGATGAAATTACACTCGCCGATACTTCCTCGTTTCCGCCGATAACGCAAAGCAAAGAACATTTCGGTGTCTTGCGCTAAGTACGCTAGCTTTTCAATTGTTAGTTCAAACTGTCAAAACGAAAGAATTTGGTTTCATATAAAAGTATTGGAGAAATTGTTGATCGAAGGTTTCCTAGCCTTGGTAGTCTTCGTCGACACGAGTTAGTTGTTTCCGTAAATCACGTAGATTCGTTGACAAACGATCAGGGAAGCGAAGACTGTACCGGGATTTAAGCGGCGGAATAACGAAGCAGAGAAATCGTTCGTTGGCAAATGAAAAAAACACTTTGTTGGGACGAAGGGAAACTTTTTTCAGACGCTCGATCGGCTGATGATGATCGAAGCCGACGACGTGGCAGCCCTACGGAGCAAAAGGACGATCGGTATCCTGCGGGAACTGTTCCCGGAAGTTTCACAGGTGAGCCGTTGCCGATCAAAGCGCAGTGAAATCCTGCAGACGGCCAGGACCATTGAAGCACTCCCACCTTTGTCCCTCGGTATCCTGCTACGGATTAGAGGACATTGAACGTCCTCGAGATTGTATCGTGGGAGGCACGCGCGAAGAAAATTCGTTCGTCGGCTCGAATTATTATTAACGGAAGAATCGGGACAGTCCGTTGACCACGGTAATTTAATTCGCCGGAAGATAGAAAGTCTCGATTACGGGTGGGCTCTTCGTCCTTCCAGGCAGAGCGCGAAGAGACGTTCCTCGGAAAGAGACAAATCGTTGTTATGAAAACGAATGCAATTTATGCGAATCGAGTTAGAAGCGCGAACGAAATGCAGAAACGGTTCGAGGCGGAGGAGAAACCGTTGAATCGGCATTCCTATCAAGAAAGTTTCACGTTCGATTCACGATTCACGCAGAGTTTCCTCGTTTACCATGCGTTCTGTCGCCCGATCGTGCAGCCACTCGATTATTCGGTCGCTTTCGCGAATTCAGATACAATCTCGAACCGGGCGGGAATCGTATCTTCCCCGAGTCCCGATGAAAAATCACCTAATCGCAAAACCATATTCGGCACCTCCACTTCACGATCATCAGAGCAGCCAGTATTTCGGCGATCTCGAAACCACAAAAACACCTCCGATTTCGCGTAACCTTCTCCCGACCATTCCGGGGAAGGCTGACGACAGATTTATCATCGACCTCGGTCGAACCTTGGTTAAAGCGGTCCCGTGAACGGACGTTTCCACGACAGATCACAAAATCAGACAATCTAAAAAAAAGTTCGACGTCGAAACGAGACGGAGCCCAGGGAAACATCCTCGTGTAGGGGGAGCTTGTCGAAGCTCCAAGGAACTAGCCAGCTAAGAGCTGTTGTTTTCTAGATGGTCGAACAAAAGGTGAACGCGATAGCCGCGGAAATCATCCGCGCCGTCGGCCCTCTCGTGCTGCGCAATTTCCTCAGCAACAATCAACCGAGTGGTGGATCCAACGACGGATCGACGGCCACCGCCGCGTCACCCTTTGGCGACGACGACGACGACGACGACGACGACGACAGCGACGAGGAAACTAACGGGAACGGATACAAGTCGACCAGCTCGAACGGTTCGAAGGTCTCGATCGCGTTGCCGACATTCCCGCCGGACGAGGACGAGGACGCGAATTCGACGACCATCGCTTCCGACGAATCGAGCAGTACCCCGACGACCAACGACGCTCAGAACGCCGACAGGACGACCGTCGCCACCAACACGGTGGATTGACCGCGTCCTGGCCAACATGAGAGGTCAATGAACCGAACGAGGAGTAATCAAACGAATTCTTTCGGCGAGGACAACCACCGCGCAATCGGGACTGCTGCGGGAGCGAAAGCTCTGTCTCTCTGCCAAAACCACTCTTCTTCTTTGTGTTCGCTAACTCGTCTACTTCTCTCTCTGTGTGTATGCGTTTCTCTATGTTCTGTCTTCCCTCGGGAATCATCCATCGTCCGTGTGTCCGCCGACAGGCGAAAAATCTGTTTCTCTAAACGCTAACATCGAGCATCTCTCTCTCTCTCGTTCTCCTGGCTTTTCTCCGGTCGGCGATCGGAACCACGGTTTTACCGCTCGCTTTCGGATCATTTCAAGCTTCGCCAGAGATCGATCGTTAGTCGCGCTCGCGATCGTTTCCGGACCGATCGACCTTGCGTGACGACGACCTTTCTTGCGAGATCTCCGTCTCGTCGTGGTCGTCCTCGAGGCCATTCACCGGTTTCCATCGACGCTTCATCTTTCCAGACCCTTTTCGAGCAAGCTGCTTCTTTGTGTCCATGAGTTGCGCCAATCAGTCATCCGCCATAGTCGTTCGACGTTGCATCGATTCGTGGAACATCGTTTAACGCATCGTTGACTGGAAGGTGTTCGAACTGGATCGCGATGGATCTTTTTTCAGTAATCGATCACTTAACGACAATGCACCCGGCAATTACGTCAGCAACGCGTCACCTGCGTCGATGCGGTTGCACTCCATATAATCAACGCTGCTTTTACGTTCTTGGAAAACACCATCGCACCCTAAACCATCGATCGCTTTCTTTTCGATATCGAGGATCATGAAACACAGTGGCATCGGGGAGAAAGCAATCGATCCGATCCGAGACTCGCGCGTATGGATCCGGTAGCGCTTCCCACTCGCAGATCGACGCGTTTCCCGATTACGAGACATCGCGTGAACACGCGTCGCACGCTTCATCACCTTCGTGGCAAAATATCGATCCGTAGGGGTGTCGATCGATCGCCAATAATCGCAGAAACGTTCCCGGAGCGTCGTCTCGATGGAACAGGTGGAGAAATCAACCGCCATGAATAATTCACGGCGGGAGATCGATCGAGCTCGGATCTAAACACGCCTCGGAAGCCTTGAACGGATGATCCGAGCGTAGCCCAGATGCCAAAGAGCTGCTCTCGAGTAACTCTCGTTAACCCTTCAAGTACGACGCCCAGCTATGTCGTCGTCGCTTAAACCGTTGTCAAATTTTACCGCCTGGGCGCAATTGTTGTTTATTTACGGGTAAAGAAATTGCCCTTTAACGTTAGGTGAGGTTTGACAGAGTAATTTAGTTTCGTTTAACATCTCTCCTGTGACGTAACTCCTCCATAAATTACTAAAATATCGTATCGCTTGGGGTTGACAGTCGTATCTGAAGGGTTGATTTCCCAGCGTGTTCCTTGGCGATCGACCGGCGGCGATTCGTCTCCAGTTCGAAGGGATCGACCGTGAAACGTTTGCTTGCAGGACGTGAATCCGGAGGCGGAGGACAGGGCGAACGAGGTGGCGGCGGAGTCGCAGAACAACGAGGTCAAAGTGCAGTTCGCGGACGAGCAGGGAACGGACGACACGGCGGCGCAACTTACGCCGCTGGACGAGGTGGAAGCCGAGGACGACGAGAACAGAAACAAGAGGTTCCTGAACTTCGGGTTCGGAGGCTCTTCGAGCAACGGCGGCAGCGGCGCGGGCTCTGGCAATTTCCTCTTCGACATTATCAGGGTGAGTTTTCCCCGGTTTTTTGGGCCCTGGTCGAATGTCGGGTGAAAAATGGAGGTATCCCATTCGTTTCGAACCGTACAAGTAAACGAACTAGTCGATGCTCTGTTAGAGAAATGGATTCGAGTGGAAGTTCATCAAACCGTGATTTATTTTGCTTAATAATACTCCGTTTGCCACGCTTCGTTTAAACGTATGCTGTTCGAAATGCTCGATGCAATCTCGCGTTGGATTTCTTGGGCAACATTAACACTTCGACTGCCATACTTATTCGCGCACGAGACCCGTCAGGGACGGCCTTAGGCGGGCTAAGGAACTGGTCTAATAGCAACTGGATTTAGGGGACTCTCGTTCCGAATACAAAACACGCGGGGAAAGTCTCTTCCAGTTGCAACTCTTTTACGATCTCGGATGTCGATCTTTAGTGCCGAAGAGAAACCAAGACGGATCGTTGAAATGTTTTAATAAATAAAACGAGGAAGTTTCGGGCGACTTTCTACTCGCTAAATCATTTTTATTTCGTTTAAATCCGTTTAACGTCGGCCCTGCGATAGGCCACGGGTTTCTGGCCGCGATCTATGTATAATTCATGAAACTAGTGTTGTAAAAGCGAGGCTTGAACTAGTCTTAAATGTTCGAGGGGTCGAGTCTTGTGCAACCAGTAGAATGAGCCTTCGAGGCTTCTCTTGTAACTAATCGGATCGTATCGGGTCTTTTCCCATATTCCAATCAATGAATTTGACTCGTGGGTGTTAAGTGTCACCCATATCCGGATGACGTGGCAGTCTGGATAGAATTAGCAGATCGATGCTATCACCCGCCGATCGATTCAGTCGTTTATTTCTGTTACGTGATACACTAAAAAAAAAAAACGAGCTCGTAAAAGTGCAACTCTGCGTCAATAGCGCAAGGATCTCGATAATGGCGCGGCTAGACCGGTAGATTGTTTAATATTCAAGTAAGAGGCGAGTATCGCGACGGCCGCAAGGGCGCCTAGTCGAGACACCGGTGAAAGTCTTCAACCGAATTGCCAAGCTCCGTCGATTGGTTACTATTCCAAGGTTCCTGACCTAGGCACGACCTGGCCTCGCGGATGATTATCCCCAGACAGCATCGAAGCGTCCCCGTTGCTCGCTAGACAAAATAAATCGAGAATTTGACGCAAGAAACAGGTCATCTATCCGATTGCAGTCACCCTAAACTCGTAGATTGATCCACTACAGCGACTTTGGCTGCTACAATGTAATCTTTCGCGGCGCGTATGGCAGCAAGAAAACGAACAGCAGTTTTCTGGCTCCGTAAAAGGCAGACACCCATCGACCAGTTTCGCGCGTTGTTCACAATCGCGTCGTTACTGTTAGCGTATACGGACAATGGAGGTTCTCTCACAGAAACTAGCTAGCGGGTAGATAAACTAGTCCGTCGAAGAAAATACGAGAGATCTCTAATAATCTACGCATCGCGTTATTATTGCAGAAACAGGACCCCGGGCAACTTTCTTTATTTCTAATCGCAATTAACAGTATGCTCGGGTCGGGATTGAAAGCTGAACACAGAAACGTGCAATTTATAGGCCTACAGGGTGATTCTAGGAACAAGGACAACGGAGTAGCATAGAATAATTGATTCGAACGGTATACATACTTGATGCATTTGAATCCTGAGTGAAATTTCAACACAATAATAGTCGACGCGACAAATAGTCCTCCACTTTTCACCCAGAAACGAAACAGCAGCAATCGCGTTGTATCGAGGAAATCAACGGAAGAAGCGAAGATGCTGGCGACCGGGAGAACCTCCCCCGCCCGGGGGGGAGGAGAAAGGTGCGTCCTCCGCAACAGTTAAAGAACAATTTCAGCCGCTTTGCAGGGTCCTGCGTCTACGCGATAAGTAGCGGAGGAGGGCGAAGTCGGTGGTCGCGGACTTTCACAGATATCCAAAGAACGAAATGATATACGCAAAGACAGGGTAAACCCGAGGAGCGGATCAGTAAAGGAAAGTTCTCGTCTCTGTTCTCGTTTAGCAAGCGGCCGACGGGGCGGCAAGAGCGGCGGGCACGGTGTACCGCGTGGTGGCAGGTACGCAGAGCCTAGGGCTCGGCTTAAGCGCCTCCCGGGACTTGGGCCCGGCTCCCCAAGATGCCGCCCCTGCTGCCGCTCCAGCTGGTTCCTCGGCCACGACAGGATCCTCGACCAACGCACCGGCCGCGTCAGGAGCCGGCAACCTACCACCGGTACGCCAATCCTTCCGAGCAGAGCCGAACGGACACTGCCAAATGCACTTATCTCCTGGTCGACGGAACCGACCGGCTCCTATCCATCGATCTTCGGCCATCGTCCGAACATCGTCCCAATGGGGAGCCTCGTCGTCTTCCGTTTACCCTTGCTTCTTTCACTTTACTTATCTCTCTCACTCTCTTTCTCTCTGTATCTCTATTTCTCTCTCTCTCTCTCTCTCTACGTTTCCGCTTCCTCTTCACTGACACTACGCTGGGGCACCTCGCGTCCAAGCACTCCCGGAATACTTCTTTCGAGGGTCACGAATCTTCCACCAAAACCCACCTAGCTCGATACTCTCCTAGCGCGATCTGAAACTAGTCGAGTTAGCCATTTTGAGGAGCAAAGTCCTTTTACTCGGTCCTGTTTCTCTCACGCCATGGTCCACCTTGGTTCCGAACTTTTGAACCCATAACTGCCATTTTCTATCGTGACTTCTTCATCATCGTCGTTCATATAAACTGTTTCATACTTAAAGTTTGATCTCCGACTGGAATTAACTCTGTTCGCGTTCTACCATAACATCTGAAATCAATTCCAATGGTAACTTTCGCTTCCGTCGAACGTGTTAGCGCGGTAGCCCCTCGAAAAAGAAGTATTTCGCGTGTCCGTAACACAGCGAACCGCGTCTTTAACGGCTCGAAGCACGCGGCCATTCGCGCAGCGGGCATAATAACTGCACACGGCTGTGTTTGATCTGCACGTCATACTTCTCGCACGTGGCTAACGACCGCCAACCGCTCGTTTTGCACGTCTCCTCCATTTACTTTCCGCCTTCCGTTTACTTCTTCGTCGGGTATCTCATCCTCCTTGTCTTTCGTAGGCTTGAGCGTACCTCCGCAACCTTCTCCTCAGCCTTGATCGTGCTCGAAGCGCGCGTCCGGATCTCCGAGCGTGGAAAGTAACGCCGAGAAATGGCCACCGGAGATCCTGGCGCGCAATTCTTGCGAGGCGCAGAGTCGGTTTCCATGGTCCCTGTGTGCGTCAGGTTTCGCTCGCGATCCAGTCGTCATTGTCACTAACATCTGCGTGTTGCGTAACGCCTCGTCTGAGCGACTAAAAGGGCATACGCGTGGTAGCCATTGTTCGAACAGAAGCTTCCTCGCTCGCGAAGACGTGCAAGCGTTCGTGCTGCTTTTAGTCTCTCATCTCGAAGTCATTTAATACCGATCATCGTCACGTTTTTCCCACTAACACGAGTGTAGAGCAGCATCCCTGATCCCGATACCACCCCCCTCGATCCTCCGATACCACTTGTTCCACCCGGCCAACGGTCCCGACGCGACACCGACAACCACCGACTAAAGACTTTCGGCGAAGCAACTGGCTGATTGGACATCCCGGCCGATTCGACTCGGAATCTCAGGGCAGCCATTGATCGTATGCCGATTCTCTCGTTGTTGTGATCTCGTACTCGTCCATTGCACCATATTTTTAGTGACGTAGCTGTAGTTAACTCGTTGCTGTTGGAACGCACCGTGGACAAAGGTCCTGGCAGACGACTCGGCTCCGTCACCCCGGACACGATTATGCCAATATCCTGTACGCATGGTCGAAACGATGGACCGATTCGTCTGCCCCGCGCAACAAACTTTTTAGTAGCACGGTGCGTGACGTACGCTTCCGTAAACGGACCAAACAGCGGTGAGTATCCTCGAGCGTGCGTCACGCTGCCTGTAATTCTCACCAGTAATTATTATCGTCTTATTTGGGTCCTGGTAAACATGTTTATAGTTACTTTGCACCTGTAGGGTGTCCGTACCGCGGCCATTTTGTAAAATAGCTCCTTGGATCGGACGGAGACGTGTCTCTTTAGTCCCAGGTTGGCCTCGTCGCGTACAGACACCCTATTATAAATATCCCTAAAACAATGTCACGAGCCGAAGGAGCGCACGTAAGGATCGTAGCAGCAAGATCGATGGATCGTAGCCGCAAGTAGGATTCAGGATGTAAAAGCACCGTAGTGTCGGGAGCGCTGGAGCTGGACGTGGAGCTGCTACACGCTGCAACTATTCTTCCCATTAGTACGATATAAAAAAACGATCAATGATCAAGGCCGATCTAGGCAAACGTGTCTTTCATCCTTCTTTCGTGCCCGCCCCGAGAACAGACGCGTCATGACCGGTGTCGGACTAACCGGAGGCTTTGATTGCTTGCAGCTGGTGGCTGGAAGCGGAAGTCAGGCCAGCGCTTCCGGAGGCGTCGACGGGAAGGCCGAGGAAACCCCGGAGGCGGTCCCTGGACCGGTCACCAGGCTCTTCGTCATCGCGAACAGAGGAATATCGAATCTCCTACAGGACCTCATCCTTGTAAGTAACGTTTTAACCGTTGTTCGGTGCAAATAAAATATTCTATAATAGCCTAATTATTAAAGAAACAGTGTAACATAAAAGGAAACGCGTAGGAATGTAAATACGTTTACATAAACTGTTGCTAGAAAACAGTTATGCACTCGTATTGTAAGTTGGTGTTCGGCATAATATTGTCTGTGTTTAATAACTTCCTACGCCTCATTATGCAAGTGAAATTTGTACCAGTGTTTAATTTGTGGAATTCGTTTACAAAATCAAACGTTTAAGGAACTGATCGTAAATTCGGGGACACGCGTTGCACACCCTTGGTTACGCCACTGGTTTCATGCAATTGTTACGTTGATGATACGCTTTGCATAACGAGCGTAAAAAATTACGGGCAGAAGGTTTTTTTCTCATGGACACGAACGATGGCTCGTAGTGCGTTGCTAGATAACCCTCGATTGAATTACGCGAGCTAGAAATCGATTATGTCTATCGGAGCGGGGACGACGCGGACGAGAAAAGGAACCAAAATCGTTACGACGACGTCGTTTCGCCCGGAATTTCCCGAGTAAACAGCGTGTGACGGACGCGAGCTCGAATCGGGGAAATTGCATTTCCAGAACGAGCTTGAAACTGAACTTTTCGTCGCGTCGGTTCTTTCTCGTATTGTTTTACGCAATCGATCCATTTGAAAGTGAAACCACATTGTATTATCAAGATCGTAACACGCGTTCGTTGTACTCGGCTAGAAAAACAGATGCTTTTTTCCTTCATCCGGCGAAAGGCGTTCGCGCAACGCTCTCATTAAAAATGGTAAAATTTCATTTAACGAGTAAATAAGTATTTTGTGGATCTCTGACTTATCAACGTGCAAAATCGAAAACGATCAACAACGTTCGTCGTGGAATTATTAATTGCATTCCAGTTTCGTATGCATTCGAAATCGTTCGTGGAACGAATCAATCAGCGGGGAAAGGTAGACCGATCTGGTTATTGAAATAAACTAACTGCGAACCAGTCTTTACCACGAATCGTGTTTATTGCTCGTCCAACGTATAATGCAATTCTTCGCGAGGTGCTGAAAAAATGGGAAAGCAAACGCGATAAGAGCTGCCAAAGTTTCAGAGAAAATTAAAAGATTTCGTCGACGATCCGCAGAACCGGATTCGAATTCGACGCCGAGATTTCGCCGAAAGTTGCGCGTGCGCGGCGCGTTGTCGTTCCAGATATTAAAACCGGCCGATTACGCAAGTGCCCCCGTCAGGATCGATGGAAAGCAAAAATGTAAGCGACTTTCTCTATGAAATAGCTCGTCCAATTGCCGGCTGACTTATGCAAGCAGCTGCTACCTGCCACCTGGCACGCGATATTGTCAGGGGCATGGCTCACCAGCTCTTCGATGCCCGAACATCCTAATCCGCGACGATAGACCCTTGAAACAGTATTTTCCAATATGGCGGTGCCTTATAACCCAAAACGAGAGCGAAAGAAAGTGTTTAAGATGTCAATTCTCATCAGCTTTGGGTCTCGATGAGTTACGTTTTGTTTCTCGCGACGCCCACGATGGAATAATTGCATCGTATCGCAACGAGTAAGAAGAAAATAGGAAGTGGCGCGAAGTACGGCGGTGGTGCGAATAGGAGACGCGGCCTATCCGTCGTTAATGCTAATCGCGTTCATTATACGTAACCTTCGTCGAGCAAATTTGCTGGCCAGCGGCGGCCATCGGCTGGAAAGCGTTCACGCTTCGAGCATCGCGCGGAATTCGTTTCCCATCGGCGTTAAAAGTCGGAAACTCCGTTACAGACTCCGGCTTTGTTAGGTCAAAACGAAAACGGCACCGACGAACGACGGTTTTTCCGCACGAGTCGGTAAAACTTTGGTCGCGCGTACAAGAAACGTCGAAAGCGGCCGGAACGCGTCTCCCGCGAAAGCGTTGCATACCTATTCGCGTAATTTTCGTGAAAAAAAAGTATACGATCCATTACGATCGGAATCCAGAAAATACCTTCTGTTCGCCACGACTCTCTTTAGCTACCTAGTATGCAGTTTCCTTTTATGCTTTTCTGCCGAGGCAAGATCCTAATCGATGGAAAGAGTTTTAGGGAAATTGACGAGACTGTTCTCTGATTTGCAGCGCCTGGCAGCAACGAGCGAGCGCATCGTTAACTTCAAGGCGAGACTGATCACTTCCATCATCTAGAAATCGGTGAGAAAGGAACTAGGGTGAGGAAGTACAAGAAAAGATTCGATGGTCCTGATGTGGTCGGGCCACGTGGGAGCCATCGCCGAGCCGTAACTGTCGCAAGGAACACGGGTACGACGTTGGCAACGTAACCAGCCAACACGTTGCCCCCTTGTCCCCGAGGTCCGAAGTATCCTCTCGTCGATGGTGGAATCGTCCTCAAAAAAACTGAAACGCAACACCTCGCGAAATCACGCCAGATCGCGAGATCTCCTCGTTTTCTCTGTCCTACGCTTCGCTGTTCTTCCTTCGCTGTCGTATCTCGTCCTCCGACGTCTCTGAAACGCTCCTCTACTCTTTCTCCTCCCTCTATACAATTTATCTTCTAATTCTTCGATTTATCATCTATACGTAGACGAATAAATAGGTTCACACGGCCGAGATTCGACGACTCGTCGCAGGAACGTGCTTTACGCGAAACGGGGACTCGATGTACTCGAAATTGTAAATGTAAACCGTTTCCAGCGAATTGTACAGCTTACTTCACCGGAACTTTTCATCAACCGTGTACGCGAAACGTATTTTCCTGTCTTCGTCCCTTCGTCGAATCGCGCAAAGCCGAAAAGTAACTCGCGCGAACTTGTACATAGCTCCTCCCGGAACGCAACAGCGCCAAGCATTGATTGTTTCTTTTTTTTCTCTTCTTAAACGATCTATACAGGTTTCCTTTCACTTAGCAGCCCTTGTTTCCTCGTCCGTTTCTTTCTTTTTAAGGCTGCTAACGCGGCGACGATTGCGGTGAAACTGAGAACCAATAAATCTCCGTGTCCTTTGTAAATCGATAACACTCCATCATAAGTGTTTTGTAATATAATGTTCGTCAAACGTTCACCGCATTCGATTCGCGCTCGAAACGACGCTGTTCTCTTTTTTGATTTCCCGAAGGCAGGAAAGTGTAACAAGAGAATGGCTGTCGTCGGTGTGTTGATCCTCGAATTGAACGCATTATCTCTCTTATGTAAATCGTCCCTGTTGTTTTGTAGTGTAAATAAATAAATATTATTGTCATAAAACGAATGTATCTGTTAAACGTGCCACCCAACAGGAGAATAACGATCGAGATGCTCGGCGAGTCTGGAAAACACATTTCTCTGCGATTGTTTATTAATTAATATGCTCGCTAGAAATATATACGACGTCGTTCGATAGGCCGCGCGCCGAAACGTCTCAATCGACATTTAGAAAAAATACATTCGATGATATTCCCGCCGCTGCTCGTATAAATAATCTCCTCGTAAACGGAACACACATTTTCATAAATACCAACAATACCGTCGTGCTGTAAATATCGCGTCCATAGTCACGGCGCGATTTACTCGAGTCTTTGATCAAAGGGGCGCAAACAACCCTTTCGATTCAGTCGCGTTCACGAATCACGGATCACGGATCACCCCCTTTATTCGATTCGGAATTGAAAGTGGAGAATTTTAAGTGGTAGGCCTTTGCTACGAGTTCTTGCCACCCTCGGTAGATGAAAGACCTCTGTAGAAGGATCCGTCGGCTTCCCCGAGGACGAGAACATCGTCTTCGCAAGAAGCCCATCGGTGTAGCTATGGAGGCGTCACCATAGGCAGTTGCACCGTAGGCTCGCCCACGTAAACTGGATCCCCCAATTTCACGGTGCCGTTAGAACTCCTCAGACCGAGGTGAATTCCCATCACCGGACTGTCGCCGGTGAACGGACGGAAAGTAGGGTCCGTTATTTGCCTGTAGCTTTAAGGTGAATACTGTTTTCACTTCTCTCTTCAAACAACTCGATCTCGAATAATTCAAACGCGATGCGTGAAATATAAATATCCTGCGACTCGAACAAGTAACAAATATGGCGGCTGTGACGATCGAAAAGCTTTTGATTTATGGTAAAATTCTATAATTTTCAGGACATACCTTCTGAGAGTTTTCAAAGGCTCTGCGTTAGGGTTCTTCGTGCCTGTTGCCGGATCGATGGTGGTGAAGATGCACCTGGTACACGGCATAACGTTCTTGAAGATCACGTTGCCGACCTTCACCCAGCCCCATCGGTCCTCCTCGTACGGGACGGCGCCTTTCACGACGAAGTTGGGCCGAAAATTTTCCGGTGCTACCGGCTCCTCCAGTCGACTGTTCAGATCCGTCACCGAGCTTTCGTTTATCAGGCAATAGCTCGTGGCGTCTGGATAAGCTCCCTGCGGAAGAGGAGACCGTGTCTTCACAGAGTGTTCCACATCTCAACAAGTTATAACTGTACTGAATCTTACAGTGTCGTCGGAGGTCACCCAGAAAGCACCGATCTTTTTCCTGACCTCACGCATCGGATACTGTAACGGGTAGTAAACCAGCCTGTAGCCAACGTCTTCCTGAAGGAGGAAACGGGACAACCACCTGGCTGGCTCCTCGCCACAATCGCACGCAGCCACCGCCTGGCTCCACACGGCCACGCGGAATCCCTTGCCTTTCATTCGCGACAAATCGATGGACACGGACATCATCCCCGGGGCGGAAAGCGTGAGAATCGAACCGGTAATACTGGGTATCACCTGGGAACAAAAATCCCATCTCTAACCAGAGCGATCTGTGACAAATGGAAAATGAGTTTCTCGTAAAAGTATCCTCGAGGAACTCCACGAAGGAAAAACGCGTCTCGGGGCGAATTAATTATTCGCTACACCCGTTGCAAATTGCGTTTCCACGACGATAAAACGGTTCGTTAATCTCGATTATAAAAGTCGCGCGTTTCCTGAACGAAACGCGTTCCTTTCAAGCCTTTTCCGATCGGAACGCGGGCTTCTGGGACCACTGACGCCGGAATTTAACGATCCGCGAAAAAAGAAACGGCCGGATCGACGCGATTACCGTGCATCGATGCGCTTCTGATCCGCTCGCCGGCTTTCACGATCGTTGTTCCTTCTCGTTATCCCGAGCAACGGTGCACGCGTTTGCAAAGCAAAGATACGTTGATTAGATTAAGTAATTCGCCGACTGCTCGATCACGAACCATCTTATATCATCTCGCAGCGGCGAACCGCGTGTAACGCGTAATTACTCTCCACGGTATCGAGCCAGCGTCGTATAAAATACTCTTGATGCTCCTTCGCAAACTACTTTCCTGTTTCATATGGTATTTAGTCAATTTATCAACTCTACGTACTTCGAACATTGTTGCTCGAGGGCTCAAGATTGGGATTCATTTTCTATTCGTAAACGGACGATCAAATACTTGGTATTCCAATAATGTTTGACGGGATTTGAAATTAATCGTCGGTTTTCATCTGGCAGTGAACGAATCTACAATTTCCTACCTGGACCATTTTTGGAACCTGTCTGGCGGTGACGAAGTGTCCATTCAGGTCGATGACCAACAGAGTCCGATCTCTCATCCAGCCAGATTGCAGACCCAGTTTCGTGCAGTCCATCGACGTCATTCGCACGGGGCCTAGCGACTTGACCGGATACGCGACCAGATCGCTGAGCTCGCCGACCTTCCGCCATTTCGACGGCGGTTTTTCCTTCTGTCTCTTGGCCCACCACCACCATAGGAAGACCGCCACCGTCCCAGCGCCGACGACGACCGCTGACATGTACGTCAGCCGCGTTCTATCTGCCCCTGAAACGTTCGTCGATTAATTATCAACGGTTAAGCGACCATGCAAAACGATCCGCTGCTAGATCATTGTGTTAGAGTTACGATAACACGTTCTGTTAAAAACCGCTCGGAAATAATCCGTGTTTCCAACGCCGCGAAGTCTATCTCTAGCTCGAGGGGAAGATTTCTTACTTTCCAATCTATACGGAATGAATTGCTTCGTTTTCTCGTTTTGAAGATGGTCGAGGAACGGATGCAACCAAGGGATCGTTTTACAATGCAAATCGCCAACCTGTCTGATGTAAGAAACAGATGAAAAGAGATCCCCGGCAAGATTCTTGTTCCTGAACGATGCACACCAGGCTTTCGTCGCTACCTAAACTCGCTTCAAACAGAGCGTGAACGTTTTTTTGCTATGCTACATGTTTCTCGGATCTATCGCTAGTTGCGCGAATAACGATCAACGAAACCGTAATAACGATCATCCGATTGCTACAGCTCGCAGAATCCAGGAATGCGTTGATTCGAAAAAGACTTAGACCATTTAAGCTTGGTTAAAAGATATTGGTCGTTCGAGGTCAGCGATTCAGGGGGTATACTACTGTGATAGTAGGAATTATACTTTGATGGTCGCAAATTATAGGCAATATTCTTCGATAAAGAGGAACGGGTTTTAGAAATTGATGTCGATGAATACCATAGGATGATTAACGGTACAGGGGCGATTCGTTCTGAGCGAACGGAACTCGATGTTGTAGACAGACTAAGAAGGAACGAAATAATATTGTTATGGATAATCGAAACCGGCATCGACGTCGTTTCTCTCGCGAGAAATCGGGACGAGCATGGTGTAACGGAACACGGTGACAACGGTCTTCCGCGGGGCGACTTGCACAATTCGTTCGTGCCAAAATGACCCGCGTTGTCGATACTATCACGGGAAAGTAGGCTAAAGAAGTCCGTGCACTTTCGAAAATGTGCACAGAATGTTGGATTTTGTGTCTCTCTTCTTCCTCTTGCGTCAATGAGTCTCCCTAATGGTTTCGTTCGTCAAATAAAAATGTACATAGACGAGTACATGGAGTACATACTGACCCAATTTTATCTAAGGTATCTTTTGACTCAACGTCGCTGATTCGAGATATAAGTACAAAATTAGGAGAAGCTGTAATTAGATTGTAGGTCATTTAAAGTGTATCTTTGAAGTTGACATTACGAGTTGACATTACGACTCGACATATCTAATCTACACGAGTATAGTCGATCACGAAAATATTCGGTCAGTAGCTTGTGTATCCAAAGCGCACACATTTACCAATGAAGACAAAGTTTGTTAATGTGGTTGTACATAGGAGGGTATTTTAACCTAAATATCGATTAAAAAGGAAGAGTTCAAAATCCTGCATATCGAACAATCTTAAAGGAATCGAGTACTTTTTAAAACCCATACTATCTTCTCACTGTTCGTCAAACTTTCAAATCGCTGTACCGAAGAATGACCGAAAATATGACTTATCGGATTTTGTTATCCGGCCATACAGATGTTCTGTCACCGATTGTTATCCATTGCATCCTTCGAATCAAATCAAATGACAAAATGGCGCTATCTACAGATATGAATCCAACATCCCTCTTAATTAATTCTAGTTTCTCATTTACGATGCTCGACGCGCACGTATACGGTTTAGGAAGTATTAACATGCAATTGCACCTTGCGTTTCCACTAGCCACCCTATCCAGCATTTCCATTCGCAGTTATCGATTGCTATTTTTTGTACAAGCCGCGTAAAGAAGGGAAATCGTTCCGAGGAAGGGACCGATGTGACAATACAGCCTTCGCGTGGAATCAATACCACGGGCGTTGCTCTCCGACGTGCAAACAGCGATACAAATTAACTCTAACGAGGAGGCTGTGTTGCAAAACTCGTGTACAGATCATATGCTCCGGACGTGTTACGTAGTAGCTTCAATGAACGCAATAGAAATTCGTTCCATAAACACTGTTGTTTTTTTACAACGACGCACGTTGGGTAGAAATCCATTCATAGCGTGCAAGCGGTGGTTCGTGAAGCCATTTGAGCGCGATAAAAGATACCGGTTAGCGATTCTATAAAGCAGAATATTTACCCAGCAGCATGGCCAACGTCGCCGGAATCTCGAACGGGGATCGAATTTTACGAACGTGGTCAATGGCTGTGTGATCCCTCAGGATGGTGGTGTGTGAGCCGATCGACAACGAACTGAGAGTACTGACTCGGTGCTACTGAGACCCAGGGCGTTCAAACGGTCCAAGCCCACATATATTGCGATGAAACCACCTTTAGTTATCGCAAAATGGCCAGATGGCGCCAGTAAACGCCACAGCTACACGTATAGACCGTACCAATGAACACCACTACGAATATTTTAGCGTCGTCGACGACACCGTTATCAGTGCACGCTCGTGTTCAGCTGGTTCCCTTCATCGTCGTAGCACAGACGAGTTATACGAGTAGATCTTGCATCGAATCTATTTTTTCGACCCATTTTTATGGGGCTCCAGAGCCCCGTTACCATTTTCGTGAGATAGAAACTGAAATTTCATAGTAAAGAATTTTTTTTCTTGAAAATGGTTAGGATTTCGAGGGTATGTCTATTGACCAAAAATGATTGCAATTGATCCCTGCGATCGAAAATAATTTTTCCAGAATGATTTGAAACTTTTCAATTTCGTCGAAAAAATGCATCCACCTCCTGTCAATTTTTCTTAAACATTCGTCGAGAGAAGAAGGCATATCTCAGTTTGCCTTTGTCGAGTCTCCGAAACTTTACGAGCTCACGTACTTACGCGTGACTTGGCTTCTGGCATGGTGTGAGAAAGTGGAATGAGGTGTCCTCAGTGCACCCGGAGCTCCGTCTGGCATCTCTGCTGCAACGTTAGACAGTGGTCAACCAGAGACGTCAGACACAGCACCGGGTGCACCCAGGGACCCATCATTCCATTTTCTCACACATGCCAGATCACGCGTACGTGAGCTCGTGGAGTTTCGGAGAGTCGACAAAGGCAAACTGACACGTGCCCTCTTTCTCGATTCTCCGAAGCTGCCCGAAGTAATTTCAGACCGTCTCGTGGGAGTCGAAATCACATCTGGCAACGTATAACCATTACTGCTGGCTACTGCCAGCTTTTCACAGCCTCTGCTGGCTTCTGCTGGCCTCTGCTGACCGCTGACAACGGTCATTATATTTCTGACAACGTATAACGATTACTAATGACTTCTGCCAACCTTCGCTGGACTCTGCTGACCGCTGCTGACCATTCCTCATACTTCTGACAACGCATGACGATTACAACTTGCTATTAGTTGCCCCTGCTGGTCTCTGCTTGCTACTGCTTGCTACTGCTGGCCTCCACTGGCCTCCGCTGACCTCCGCTGGCCTCCGCTGACCACTGCTGACCACCCCTGATGCTTCCGAAAACGTACAACGATTACTACTTGTTACTGCTTGCCCCTGCTGGTCTCTGCTTGGCCCTGTAGGCCTCTACTGTCCCCTGCTGACCCCTGCTGACCACTGCTGACCACCCCTGACCACCCCTGACCACCCCTGATACTTCTGACATGATGTATAAGTATTCAAGCCTTGTATAATGTAAATCTATGGCAATAAATGATATAATTTAACAGAATTCTGTGTTCTCATCATTTTTACCTTTCTTTTCCTCTCCAAATCATTGCCTTAGTTTTAAGAGACCGTTTTCCCGGTTAAAATTGGATTCCCAAAGTGTCCAGCTCTCGTACTTGCTGCTAAAATCAAAAATTAACTTTTAAACTGTTTCGTCAAAAAGTCCTGAAACAATTGGGAAGTCCTGAAACAGCTGGAAAGTCCTGAAACACCGAAAAGCCCTGAAACTTTGAAATTTTTGAAAAATTGGAAAGTCCTGAAACAGTTAGAAAGTCCTGAAACAACGAAAAAGCCCTGAAACTTTGAAATTTTTGGAAAATTGGAAAGTCCTGAAACAACGAAAAAGCCCTGAAACCGCTGGAAAGCCCTGAAACCCCGAAAAAGCCCTGAAACTGAAATTTTTGAAAAATTGGAAAGTCCTGAAACAGTTAGAAAGTCCTGAAACAACGCTAAAGCCCTGAAACTTTGAAATTTTTGAAAAATTGGAAAGTCCTGAAACAACGAAAAAGCCCTGAAACAGCTGGAAAGCCCTGAAACAGTTGGAACGTCCTGCCACAACGAAAAAGCCCTGAAACTTTGAAATTTTCGAAACTATTGGAAAGTCCTGAAACAGCTGGAATGTCCTGAAACAGTTGGAAAGTCCTGAAACAGCTGGAAAGTCCTGAAACAGCTGGGAAGTCCTGAAATTTCTTGAAAACGCCGAAAATTCTTGGAAACTCTGAATTTTTAGCAAAGTTCTGAGTTTCTGGACTTCCTAGTGGGTTCAGGGAAACCAAGGAGTTCCAGGGAGTCTTATAACTAAGGTAATGATTTGGAGAGGTAAGGAAAGGTAAAAAATGATGAGAACACATAGAATTCTTTGTAATTATATCATTTATTGCCATAGATTTACATTATACAATGTTTTAATTCATATATATCATGGCAGAAGTTGTTAACAAGGGTCAGTAGTGGTCAGCAGGGGTCAGCTTGGGTCAGCAGTGGTCAGTAGGGGTCAGCAGGTGTCAGCAGGGGACAGCAGAAGCTTGCAGAGGCAAGCAGAGACCAGCAAAGACCAGCAGAGACCAGCAGGGGCAAGCAGTAGTATGTTGTAATCGTTATACGTTGTCGGAAGTATCAGGATTGGTCAGCAGTGGTCAGCGTTGGCCAGCAGAGGCCAGCAGAGACAGGCAGAGGTTAGCAGAGGCCAGCAGAAGCCAGCAGAGGCTGGTAGAGGCTGGCAGTAGCCAGTAGTAATGGTTATTCGTTGCCAGATATATCAGAAGTGATATCTGATATAATATACATCTGTACACTCATACATAAGAATAATAAAACAGATTTCCTTGTCACTCAATAATTCAAATATGATCGGGGAGTTTTAAAACGTGCATTTCTTTGCTTAATACTTTTTAATTCTTTGCTTGGTACTTTGCTTATGTTCGTCTACATACATAGGTCGGAAAGTAAAAATGCCTGGGCAGTCGAGAATCTCAAGAGATTCCAAATCGTATGACGTTGATGGGAGGTTGGATTTGATTTGTGCAAGAACGAGAAGGTAATTGTGAGCCTTCCTCTCTCGACTCCCACGAGGCGATCCGAAATTGCTTCGTGCAGCTTCGGAGAATCGAGAAAGAGGGCACGTGTCAGTTTGGCTTTGTCGACTCTCCGAAACTCTACGAGCTCACGTACGCGTGATCTGACATAGTGTGAGTAGTGCACTCGGTGCACAATCTGACATAACTGTGGTCAACTGTCATTACAAGCACAAGTTGTGCAAGTGTTATTGTACTACAGAATAAGTGTTTTGGTTCCCTTAAATCTTTTTCTATGAAGTGACACAGCACATTGATTTAACGTATTGTTCACTGATGTGTTTTCAAAAGATCGTTGATTTCATATATACGAGCAATATTGAAACAAAGAACGTTCGTCTCTACGGTTGAGTCATTCGATTTCCTTGAGGTTGGTCGCAAAAATTATTGATTGTTCATATCCATGAACTCGAATGTGAGTTACTACTTCGTGATGCTTTTATGTTTTATTATCGTTTAGAACAGCTTTTAAACATAAATATCAAATTAATTGAAGAGTCGAGTATTCTTTGAAGGTTAGAAACTATGGCGTATTATGAACAGGGTTGCCACCTCTCTGTATCTTTCTTTTGACTATCTCTGTTTATAAGTACTAAAGTTACTTTGTTGTTCAAGCAGTATTGACCACCTTTATTCGTATTCTTTGTGTGCTAGTGTGGCAACATCTTGTTTTCAGTATTATCCAGCACGATAACAGATAAAGAAGCTTAGCTGCAAACATAACGTTATTTGTTTGGTGGGTACATTTCTCTGGATTAAAGACTTTGTGCTTGCCAGTTTATAATATTGGCTACACAGACCTAAGTTAATATTTTAACTCTATTGCAGACATTCACCATGCCCATTTTATATTCTGTGGTGGCCAGAGGGCAAACTGTACTTGCAAAATATGCTACCTGCGTTGGAAACTTTGATGAAGTGACCGGAACAATTTTGGCCAAAATTCCTCCATACAATGACATGTTGACATACTCGCAGGGAGCATATTTATATCATTACATTTGTTACAATAATATTATTTATATGTGCATAACGGATAATGTGAGTAATCGAAAAAAATTGTAATACGCCTTTACGAAAATTGAAAGTAAAATGTATAAATAAATAATGCGTTTCCTTTAAAGGAGTTCCAAAAGACCAGGGCATTTATGTATCTTACAGAAATTAAAAAAATGTTTCTAACGATTTATGGCGATGGCGCCCAAACTGCTGTCGCATACGCGATGAATATAGAGTTTAGCAAAGTATTGGACAATCAAATGGTATATAGAAACGTTTTTTTTTTTATCGTACGCACTTTATGCTTTTTCATATAAGCGTTCTTTGTCTAGAAATATTATCACGAGTCGAATAAAGACATCGACAAGTTGTCCAAAGTTCATGGCGATCTAGACGAATTGAAAGATATAATGGTAACAAACATCGATACCTTAAAAATGCGCGGCGAACGATTAGACCTTCTTGTATGTAAGGCGGAAAATTTATCTACTAATGTAAGTACGAAGCGAAAATTAATGTACCAATGTATTTTACTCTTATATGCGCTAACAATCGAAAATGGGTAGCTATAGTTACGTATCGTTTTCAGTCTGTTACGTTTAGGAAAACCAGCAGAAATTTAGCGCGCTCGTTATTTTGGAAGAACGTCAAAATTTACGTAATTATCGGAACTATCCTTATCGTAAGTATCAATGCTAAACGCGACATCTGGTATTCAATCCTACATAAATGTAAATGAACCTGCAAATTTTCTAGATTGTAATATACGTTATTGTATCCATATCTTGCGGAGGTCTCGCATGGCAAAAATGCGTCGGAAATTAATACACGAGTATCACATTCAAACGCACTACATTGTCTCTAAACTGTGATGTAAATTTATGTCAACACAGATTAACGATCGGACGATGCGCGTACTTATATTTTTAAGCAAACAAAAAAAAAAGAAAAGGACGTGATGCAGATTTTATATCTTGGTTTGTTGTGCGCATAAAAAAATCGAGAAGTATCGTTCGATCCTGCATTACGTAAGTATATTGAAATAATACGAGTACCGTTAGAAAAATATGTATACGTCACGTTATTTTTATTATATCACCGGAAAAGTGTCGATATTATTTGTATGCCCCAAACAAGAAATATAATTTTAATGTCAATCATGTATATTGTACTATACTGAAACGTTCCACGAAGGAACGAATAAATAAAGAAATTATATTACACGAACCGTTTATTCTTTTTCCTTTGTCCACTCTAGGGGTGCAACAAGTGAAGGTCACGCAATTTTATTGCGTATTTCCCTCGTAGAAATATTTCCTTAGATTAAGAACCGTATCATTGGGACCGGAGCGTTCTATTTGCAATCTAGATGAAATCACGTCGAGAATTGATCGAGTCATCGGTTCTTCCGGGCCATTAAATGCATCAGATTGTTTTTCACACGGAATCGTTCGGACATTGCAAACGGTGCACTGCTCTTCCCATAGTAGCGTCGTGCGCATGCGCGGCGCTTTGGTTTCCCTCCAATTTGCTTCCTACGAAAGCCCGCGCGAATTCAATTTACGCAATCCATCGTAACAAAAGAAATCACTTGTTAAATGATCGATTCGGTACTTTCATTCGGTTTATCCGTAAAATAAAGTTACAAAAGGAAGAGTACGGGGATTTATTGTTACTGTTTTATTCTGTTTGCTATTTAAACGTTATGGTCTTAATATATATATATATTATGTATTATAGTATGAGTAAAGCGTCTGACCCAGCACGGGTCCTATTTCCCTTCCGAACCAATCCTCCTTTCTACCATATTTCGACAGACCCGCGGATGAAATATTCAATGAAAACGAATTTATTCGGAACAATTGGACTAATGGACAACTCTGTGTGGAAGAAGTAGACACGCGACTAGTTCTGTAAAAGATGTTGGAATTGGTCGAGCGAGAGATTGGTACGGTCCTGGCCGGGGCGCCCGCCGTGTTCGGCGCGGGACGGGTGGCGGCGTCGCAGGCGCTGTCGTCGCGACGCCCGGGCCATCGCAGCAGCCCGGCGACTCTGGCAGGATGTCGATGGTTCGCGTGGCGCGCCCTTCGGGGGGTGCCGAACTGACACTTGGGCGGCTCGTTTCGTTGGCTCGCGACGATTGATCGCGCGTTGTCCGTGAACCCTCTCGGTGGTAAAAAAAAACACTTTCCCATCGCAAGGTCGCTCAACAAGTTCCGGCCGTGTGCGCGGGCCAGGCCGGCCGGCCGCGAGATTAATCGAAAGAGGAAAACATCCCCCGTGGTGGTAGCGAGTTCGCACGCGCGGCGACCGAGCGCAGCGGCCGTGCCGCGCGGCGGATTCTCGCGTGCACTTCGGCGCGTGCAGCAACCTACGGCGGTGAATGCACTCTGAGGACCGCGTGAAAGCCGGTGGTAGCGAGGAACGGTGCGGTGAGTGGGCCACGTTGCACACTGCGTGTGTTTACCGTCGCGAGTGGGGTGGTTTCGTGCGGTGGCTGGAGACCGTTTCGCGTCCGGGCACGGAACCGCGGAGGTTCCGGATGCCAGAGGCGAGCTGACGGCTCCACTGCCGCGATCGGATGTCCGCCAGTGAGGGCAGCAGGGACTACGTGCCGCTGGATGAAAGTGAAAACGAAACGTCCCGCGACACGGGGGGATGAGCCGAGGATACGCTGCGCGGAGAACGTCCGGCGGTAAGAGCTTCACAGACCCCGTAAGTGGATCGTTGCCTTTGCTCTTTTACTTACGGCCATTAGCCCCTTATTTTCTCGCTCGCCCGATGAAATCGTAATTACCCCGGCCAGAGATACGGGGCAGCTAAATATCGCGTGTCGCGGACCTCCCGCTAATCGCGTTTCCGTACAAAGTATCAAAACAGGCCATCGACGAGGAAAGCCAACGGCCGGCGAGCATGAACGCGGAAATGCCTGCGTTTCCCGGCACGCGAAATCGAGCTATGGGAAATCGTTGCTGCGGCTCGCCGGGAAAAGCGCAACTACGGCCACCCCGCTGCTGGAAATATTGCACTTCCATCGCCGGATATAGAATCGTGGTATCGATTCACGGACGCGTTCTTCAAATTGTTTCACGCAACGCGCCGTTTTACCGGAATCGCTCGAAACCCGCGCGATAATTCGCGGTGACAAGTTGGGTCTCGTTTACGATCCCGCGCATTCCCGCGAACGTGCCTACGATTACTCGATGCGATCGAATGGAATCCTCTGCGGGGAAATTGATAGAAATATATCCGCAGAAATAGTTAGAGATGCGAGACCAGCCTGGTCTATTATCGAACCAAGGAAAATAACGTCCCGGGAGATCCCCAACGACGATCGTCCGAAATGTTTCCGACTCCGCTCGACCGAGGAAAAGATATAGCGTCTTACCCCGCTTTATCTCTCCCACGCCCCGTAGTATTGCCGTAACGTGCACGGGGTTCGTTCGATGGAGAAATATTCGATGCCACGTACGCGAGCCATAAAACGTCCGGGGAACGATAGGGTCCGACCCGGCATAGCGTTCTGAGCGATCCCGAACAGGAAGAATGTTCATTGGCGTTCCGGGGCTCGGAGGTCCTGGCTAAGCAACGACTCGCTGGTCCACGACTGGATCGCTCACAGGAAGACAAATGTTCCCGGAGGTACGACGACGCCCTCGTGTTTCGAACACCCTCGACTTTTATGCAAAGCATCCTTGCTCGTCGCTAACTTTCCGCAGAGGGTGGTAATCCTGGTATCCTTCGGCCAGTGTCGAGCATTATTCGAACGAAATTTTATTTGGATAACGATAACGAATGAATAATTAACGAAAGAAGATCGACCGCTTACCCCGATTAAAAGTAGCTGTCAAGCGACGTTATTCTAAATAACTTTTGGCCAACATTGATTTCGGTAAAACGTTTACAACTAATTTCCAACGAATAGTAGAACGCGATAGCGAAGGTTGCGTGTGGTTTGCGTCTCCAGAGACGCGAGTTTGTTCGAAAGGGGAATGGAGTTTCGTGTATATCGAAGCAGAAGCAATATTTGCCCGTACGGGTCGGAATATTCCGTAAATACTGTGGCAATATTCAGACGTTCCCATCAATTTTGCAATATCTCATAAATATTTTTGAGAAACGATGCCTTGAAAATATTCCAGACAAGTGCATGGTCGTGTTCTTTCCGTATTAGACCGAAATATCCCCTTAAAATTTATTGTACCCTCCTCCAATTTCGCCCGGACGTTACCACAATGCGTTCGAAACATTGCAAATGGCGGAAACGGAACGACTGCCGGAATATTGTAGAAATTCCTCTCGAAATATTCGAACACTGCGAGCATGCTTGGGTAACATTCTGCGCCGCGTGGGAGGCAATACGCGGTTTGTACAACCAAGTCTGCGGTGTAACGTGTCCCGTGGAAGCTTACTTTTCGGAATATCTTGTTAGCGAGTCAACGAGAACCGGGAGCTCCGAGTTCGCCAAAGACTTGGAGACCGCTGTACTAAGCCGTTAAGTACGTAAGACTTGTCTCCGCGAGTCGCGAGACGTCGATCGTCGCCTCTCGAACCCTCCGGTTTAATTAAGTCGCGGGAAAGAAGCTCGTTCGCGCGAACGAGATTTTTCCCGAGCGTTCGATTCCGTCGGGGGATCGGAGCGTCGCGAGATCGAGCGACCGTCGAGACGTCTCCTAGTTTTAATTAAAGTCACCCGGTCGGAGTCGCGGCTAAGGCAATTAACTCGAAGACAAACGGGAGGCTCGATTGAATTTCCTAGCTTTCCGTAATTAGTTTCGACGTAACGGAGTCGTTCCTCCGTCGGCGGCCCTGATAATCGCGCCTACCGACGAGTTACCCGCGCGAAACCGACGATCGGAGTTTGCCAAGTCCACAGGCGTGCACCCTCCGCGGCCGCGGCGATGCCGGAACGGTCTCAAAGTGTCGGTTCGTTTCTGAGAAATTAGCGGATCGACGACCCTTCCGAAAGAGACGAACGAACGAGTGGAAATCGTGCGCGTTCGCGGCCCGTTGGTTTCGAAACAGGACGAGCTTCCTCGTTTCTCGTTGTTTCCCGAGTTCCTAGCTCGGGGTCGAAAGTGGCACGGCAGGGGGGGGTGGGTGAAATTTTAATTCGCGCGCCGGAAGTTTGATATTCAGAGATCCGGAGTCGGCATTCACGGTCTCACGTACGACCACTCGGCGACTCTTCTTTCGACGGGGACATTTTTGTATCGCGTCAACGACGAAGGAACTCTTGTTCCTCGCGCCGGACGGAGAACGCTAGAGAGTGAAAAGGAAACGGAGAAAGATAGGGAAAGAACGTAGCACATGGGGGGTAGAGATGATAGAACGAGACGACGATCTGTCATTCAAGGACGATTCTTTCAGCCTGCAAACTCGGTGGATTGTGTGTGCAGGGCCACCCTCTTTAGAATTCCCCGACCGTGGAGCAAGAAGCTCGTAAAAGACAAAGGGGGTTGGTAGCGTCACAGGGGTGAAGAAGCCGAGGCACGAGGGAGAGATCGGAGAGGAAGGAAAGGCGACACGAAGGGACGCGGAGAAGCGAGAAAGGAGATAAGGAAGATGGGAGAGAGTTCACCGGATCTCAGCCTCCGGCTCCGCCGGGGCAGCTCCGACTCCAGAGATTCCTTCTACATGGACTTTGCTCAGGTACTAACACCCCCCCTCGATAATCCCTGATAGATAACTCCTGTCGCGCTACAGCGAACGGTAAATTTATATTAATAAAATCCCACGATTCCTCCTCCTCCTGGATCATCCGCTGCTAACATTCGGGGTGTCGTCTTTCGATTCTCAGCGGGGGTGAATTTAAAATTCACATTTTCTTAACATTAGATTCCCTCGTTGGTGGTATCTTGGATCGTGCAGGAATCATTTTGTGAATTGATTGAACAGGGCATCGACTCGGACATCGAGGAGGTGACGCGTCTGGAGGACAACAACTCGGATCCGATGATGGAGAACCACCTCGAGGAGAACAGAAACGAGCTGCCCCCGCCGATCGAGGACATCACCACGATCCCGGAAGAGGCGTCCGAGGAGCTGCGCGAGGAGGAGGAGGCCGCGGCTATGGAGGCCGCGATGCGAACACCCGAAGGCCCCATAATTAACACGGAAGCGGAGAAACCGGCGCAGCAAACCCCGCCCCAGCTCTCCACGCTCGACCCGCAAGAGTGAGTACGCGGAAACGCTACGCTACGAAATTGCTGTACGCGGAACCGTCGTTACGGGGGTAATTTAATCCGGATCTGACAGCCTTCGGTTTTAATTGCAATTTCTTCTTTTTTATTTTTTTTTGGTGACATCTCTGCAACTCCACGGGGCCCCCTTTTTCTGCCAGCGTGTAAATACTACGACAAAGCGAACCGAATTGCCTGGACTTCGTTCGACATATATTCATGCATGCGAGTTCTTTTCATCCTCTCGACGCGCAACTAACGTCTTTAATGGCCCGTTCGTCCCTGCCTCGACCTCGTGTAATATTCAGATCGGAAACAGCGTCTTTGAAAGCGTTTCGACTTAAAAAAAATCGCGAGGAGTGACCCGGCAGCGATTTATACCAGCCTCGACGCGCGCACCGCTTCTTCCGGTCTGCGTTTCTTGCCGGGAGTATGACCCGCCGTTAACGAATCCCCATACGTCTCGTTCAGACGAAGTCTCTTCAGCCAGAGTGCGAGGGTAGAATAATAAAAGAAAAAAAAGAAATACACGGAGCCGAGTTAAGTAGATGAACAAAATGAACGTTCGGATCGCGGCGTCGCGGTGAACAAAACTACAGAGTGCAGGGTGAAAAAATATTACTCGCGGTGGAGGAAACTCCGGTTAGAGTCGATTTTTCATGGAAATTCTGACGCCATCGCGCGTTAGATCCTCGCGACTGTAAATTATTTCCTCAAAGGCTCGTTATCGGTGCCAGATACTTGGAGTATCATTTCCCTGCTCTTCGCTGAATATTTTTGATCGCAAAACTACCTTCGTCGGGGAAGGTTCTTGCAGGTTGGCGTCAATTATTCTCCGCTACGTATTTCGTACGTAACGTCACGATGTAAATTACGGCTCCCCCTAAACGGGCACGTTTCTCCTCGTCTCTTCATTCGAATGACCACCGCCACTAGTCACAGCCACGGGACATTACTCACTGTCCACGATTAACGCGCATCCCTCGAGTCTGGTATCCAGCAGGGAACCGGCAGCGGTTTGTATCTCCGCCGACGATTGAACTTGATCGTGAAAAATCGTTTCCGAAGCATCTCCACTTTGCTCCATCAATTCCCACTCGACTCCCGAATCACGGTTTCGCCGAGAATCCTTACGAAATTTCGAGCTACCAACACCTTGACATCGTCAGCTTTAATCTTTCGGGGGAATAAAAGTAACTAGTTTCTAATTTAATCGTGCACTGGGTATGCAAACTGTCAGGAATTTTTATTGGACGTTTAACGGTTCGCTGAACGGTTGCGTTAAAAAGAAAGACTAACAGAATTTTTCTATTGGAAGCATGTAATCTCTAAAACGTGGACTGATCCGTGAAAACGACATCGCTTCAGTCAGGGTCAATATTATCCCGAACCCTTGCCGGTACGCTTTTCGACGTACCCTCTTGACAGCGGAGCTTCGAGTAAAGTACTCCGTCAGGAAACATTATTGTCGCCTAAACGCCATTATAACGACACGAAGATCCTTTTCCCTAATAGAATCTGTTCGCTACGCAAGATTCGATTCAACTTCACTGGCAAACAGACTCATAATCGATCGATCGTATTTACTTTTTATACGTTCCACAGCGTTAAATCGTATTGTAGACGAACAAAAGTACTTTGATTTGCACGCTGTTGCGTGGCAAACCGTCTAATCCGTCCAATTGAATCGTTGGCAGACAATCGCTCGAGCAACGTGCGAGTCGGAAAATCGAGAAACGATCAAACGCGTTCCCGTGACGGGTATCGAAACAGAGATCCCCCGATCAAAGCGAAACACTGACCTCGATCTGCAAAATGGCTGGGTTCTGGCGGGTCTAATCAGCGAGTCGCGGCGAAAGGAGTCGCGCGTCAAAGGCGTATCGTCGCGCGACGATAACGAGGAGGCTCGTCGTAGCAATTAACGCGCTTGTTACGAAACCTGTTCGAGGATATTAATCGCGTCCCGCCGATACGCGATCACCGGTGCTTGATTGGTCGTCAGATCCGTTTATTTCCTCGTTCGGCGACGCGTCGAATCGTGCGATTAATCCGCGCATCGAACATCAATTTCCTTCGATCCGTCGATCGTGGCGGGTGGCGCGCCTCCGTTCCGGCAGAACTCGATTGCTTCCGGCGGATATCGAACGCGAATTTCGCGGACGCGCGACGGGGCCAGCGGCGCCGAAGTTAATATTGACCTGTCGCTTCGTTATGGCCAACAAACGACCTTCGTGCGCGCCTCTCTCGCTTCCGATCGTGCCTTATCCCTCTCCCCGCTCGCTCTCCCTCTCTTCCCGTTTCACCGGAACCGTCCTTCGTCCCGGACGAGAGCCAGGGAGACCTGTTCCCTCGATTTGCATGCAGATTCGATCAACGTGGCCCGAGCCTCGACTCCTTCGTCCTGTGGATTCCTTTGCAACACAGCACGCGTTACGGAAGAGGGTAAAAATTGACAAATTTAAGATCCCTCCGACGTGGACGCGAGGTTCAGGGAGCTCGCCCTTCGATCGTCCCCGATTGTCCCGGCGCGGTCGAAGCGCGAGTCGTGAAATCGAGTTCCGGTGGGAAAAAAATCGCGGTCGGTCCTTCCGCGATCGTTACGCCACTGCGAATCTCGTTCGGGTAACGAGCCCGCTATCAAACGACCGTGTGTCCAGAGACGGTCCGGTGGAGGAGCGGCACGGGGACGGGGAATGATGAACGAGGGGCAGAGAGAGAGACAGAGAGGATCGCGGTGTCAGGATAGAGCAGGGCCTCAGTTTGTTATGCGGGGTCCGCGAGTGCCGTGACACGAGCCGCGAGGGCCGTGACTGTGCTATCCGTCGGTGTGTTCAGCAGCTTGCGTTCCGTCGAGACGGCCGAGGAAACTACCAGCCAAGGTCACGGACATGCTCATCAAGGAGACCTCCCTCAGGTACCACGATTCCGTTCCGCCGACCGCGGATCGATCCGAGCCGGTCCTCAGCACGGTACGACTGGCCGGGAATCCTAAAATCGCGCGCGCACACCCACGCAACGCGTCCTGTCTGCGATTTCCGATGGCACGACGTGCCCCTCGTGCTCTTCGATACGGAATTTCAATCGCCAGGGAACACACGAAATCCTTCAGATTCTGAGGCAGATTTTCGCCCCGGCAGCTTCAGAATGTTTCGAACGATCCTGCGACCAAGGCAGCAATCGCTCTCGATTCGAGTATCGGAGGAGGGAAAAAATTGGACGGCAAAGCGGAAAGCGTTAAAATATTTGTGAGCCCGATGCGTTCTCTGTATCGAGCCATTCTCACCCCTCCGACGAAACGTAATCCCCAGCGTGGGAGAGACCGAGAACGCCATCGCGATTAAGTATTTATACGTTTCTTTGGTTCGTCCTCGACTCGATTACTACCGCTTTTATCTTCAATGTCCAAATATTTATTTGTATAAATATTTCTTTACGATAACTCGTTCACCCTCCGGCGCGGAGGGAACGAAACGTTTACGGGGTATTTACGCGTCGAAGAAACGATTAAGAAAATGGTCCGTGGAGGCGCGCGAGTCGGTGCATCGTGCAAGAAAAGAACGGGAAGATGCGAAGAAGCAGATTCCTGAGGAATACCACCCGAAGGGGTGGCGGAGTGCCGTAGCGACCGAAACAAGGGTGAGCCGGGCCAGGAGTCCTCGAGCCACGGATACACTCGTGCCACAATGAGGGAACGGCACTCAGCCACTGAATCAACCCCTCAGTGCCCTCGCGCGCCTCCCTCACGTCCGGCAACACCCTCTCGCGCTCTTCTGCTTCTCCAACACTACGTGATTATTTCAAAAAGCTCCGAGCCAAGGGCCGACTACCCCTCGCCCTCCTCCCCCCTTCTCCCATCTCTACCCGAGAGCTCACCACTCACTTTCCCTCTTTTCCCTTTCAGGGCGCGCGTGTGCGCGCGAGCAAGAGTGACCCTCCTATCTCGTCAAAAGGACGAAACTTATCCGCCTCCCTCTCGCCGCCTTCTATCTGCCTCGTAGGGGTAGGTCGTTTTACGCAGCGCCTCGTTTACCTTCTTAAACGCGCGGAACAACCATCTACCGATTTCAGATATACAGAGTGTCCCGTTACGAACCCTCCCGTGTTCTTTTTCCTATTTTATTGGGTCACCCTCAAACTTTACAACCCTTTCGGCGAACCCAACTCTGCTGACGTTTAATATTTTCAGGCAGAAATAACCACCGCGTTCCTCGACCCTGTTGGCCGAAAATTACATCGTTTTTCTGTGTAAATAAAAGACGAATCATGGGTAAATTAGTAGCTTCTGTCCGTATTCTCTTTACACGAACGATAGTGCTTTAATGACTATTAAAATTGCAAGTCTCAGTGATTATTAAATCGGTCCTCAAATGCTTCTATTCATAGAGCTACTATCGTTGTCGTAAGTTTCCACAGTTTTCGGTAGACCGTGTTTTTTCGTATTGCACAAAACAGCGAAGGGTGTTCGGGTTTTTAACGAGCCACCCTGTATTTAAAGGGGCTGGATGACGCTTCGTGGATGACTGCGTTTCAACAGGGGCGAACGCAAGCTATTTATTTATGCGCGTAATTTTTCGGTGGAAATGTGGAACCAGAGCTCCAGAAATATTGGACGAAGCGAATCGTGCAACGAATATCGTGAAACGACCAGGCCACTGCATTCAGAGGCGAACTCTCGTCGCAAAAGAAAATCTTGACCCTGTTTCTGACTTCCATGCGGCCGTTCACGTGCAGTAAAAGAAAGAAAACAAAGAAAATTATAGTATGAATTGTGATTTGTTAATGGCTTATGTCGTAATGGTAGTGGTTCGTACAAATTATCGATGCAATTAAGTGATACGGTCTTCCATTCTGTTTCAATTGCGTTTATGAATTCTTTTCGAGACGAGAATTGGCAGTTATTTGTGTACACTTGCCCCCAACAGATATCCCCATACGTTCTCAATTGTATTTAAATCCGGGGACAATGCTGGCCAATCTAAACAAATTATTTTCTACTATTTTTCGTTTCTATGGTTCCTTTATAAAAGTTCGACCATTACCAAGCAACCCACTTTGACGGATATAGCAGCCATAGTAGAAAATGCGATTTTCTCGATTCGAAACTCGTACGAACTCCCACCATTCGAAAGAACGTTTGATCAAAAGAGCTTTATATTCTTATTTTCATCGTTTTTGTGCCTCGCGTAAGCTTCCGAGGACGCAATTTTCTCTCGTGCCGTGAAAATCGAAGAAACCCTTTTCACAGGGACTCGAATATTCTTTACCCACTCCCCAAAAGGCGCGTGGAAACGTCTGCGGAGAGGCAAGGGGCGAATCCACTTCGCGGTAAATTGAAATCTCGCCCCGATACGTCCGCGCAATATCGCGGCGGAGAAATAATTTACGGGTCCTTCTTGTTCGGCTACGGCAGGACGAGCCAAGTCCCGCGGACAAGTTGTCGCCGTAAATTCCATGGTAACGCGACGCGAAAAAGCCCGAAAAAGCCCCCGTTGTGAGAAACGAACCGCCTGTATTTCGCTGGTCGTCGGATTAGAGGGATCGGTCAGGATTATCATTAGATAAACGGCCGACGTTGGAAAGTCGTCGTTTAATGACGCTCACGAAATCGTCCGAGCTATAGTGGGTCTCTTCCTGCAGCCAGTGTCAATGTGACAAGTGTATCAAACGTTACGGCACCGCGTTGACCTTAAATTAGACGAGAGAGACCGTTCCTGTGCCGAGTTCCCCTTCGTGCTCCCCGAAACTTTCAGCCGGACTGCGATTGCGCTACCAGAGCGGACGAACGACGACGCGAAATTGGACGTCGATCGTTTCTACGTAGCCACGGGTGCCTGAATATCGGTTTAAAAATTCCATTCTACGAATCGATAGCCGCTGTGAGAAGAAACACGGAGAGACGCGCGCGAGATCCAAGTCGAAACGGGCCCAGAAAGGAGAAGAGAGGGGGGAAGAGTAATCGAGCAAATTAAAAACGACACGCCCCTGTTTAATTGCTCTCGCTTTCCAGGCGAAAAAGAAAAAGATGCAAAGGCAAATGAGCGTCGCGAACTCGCGGCCCCGCGAGCGCGGTTTCATTAAGCCGCGCGAAGAAAACGGGTCGGAAAATATTTTCCAGCCACGGTTAATTGCTTCTTGCCGTGTCCGAGCGACTACGAGGCTACGGAAACTAGGGATGAAACATCGTGTAAATTACGTCGAGGGCTCGGAATGTTCCATTGTTCGCGGTACAATTAGCGTCGAGGGTGATTCTTTGCTAAGCGAAACATTTTCGAGTTTCGGAACGAAAGAGTTCCCGTCGCCGTTATTGGAAAAGCCCACATATACGGTGAATGCGACAGACGATCGAATATTAATCGTGTTTGACTGGCTTTGGCCGTTCCTCCGTTGCTTCTCTCCGTACTCCGAATGTATACAAGGCGAACCGCGAACGGCGAGGGCAGATAAGAGCGATCACATTTCATATACCTCGGTCTCATTGTGTCGCGGGGCTTTTGTCGCTTTCAAAAGCGCTCACCGTGCCGGAACGCATCGAGTGCGAGACAAATTTAATCGGTTTTCCTAATTCGGTAATTATTTCAATTCCGTCGCTTTCCGCGCGAATCCATTCCGCTCGAAACCCGTTCGACGCGAGTTACCGCCTCGAAGCGAGCTTCGCGTCGTCGCGCGGTCCTCGTAATTCGTTTAGGAGAGTTTCCGTCGACGGTCCGCCCATCGGCGATACGGTTAAGTCAGTTACTGGTAACTTCGGAGCCATGAAACTGGCTGTCGTTGCTCGTCTCGTTAAATCGTCAACGACAAATAAGTTGCGAAACATTCTGGATTTTAAGCTTGCGTAGCCGAACGAATGAAAATACAATGGAACCTTTCTCTGTTAGTTCGGATAATAATTTTCTATAAAAGGGGTTGGTAGATGAATGTCAGAGATCGATCTGCTTCGAGTAAAAAAGGTTTCACGAATGGGGAAGCGGTGGTAAAGCGCGCAGCGATCGTTGCAGTAGACAGCGGAAGCGGAGGAATCGGGGGGCGGACGTAGAAGGTGCGCTACTTTGTTAGCGTGGTTCAAGGTATCCCGAGCAACGTAGTATCGTAATTATCCCCGTAATAACGAATCGATCGGGCAAGGACAGAGCAGAGAAATAATGAGGAAACATGGTCTGTACAGCTGGCCAGGACTGCCGGGTGCGCTACCGTCACCGGCTTCGCCGTCCGCGGTAATCGTTTCGCCGGAAACGTTGTCTAGACACAGCAGCAGCTTACCCTCCCGCACCCACCGGCCATCCCAGTTCGCCTTGGCACTACCATGCTCCTCGCAGCCGATTTCCGCGGTCTGCTACCCGGCCCCGACCTACCTCGACGTCGCCGAGGACCGCAAGTGGAAGAAGCTCGGATAGTGAGTTACAACATTCATAAACTACATCGAAATTTTGTAATTTTCATCGGATAAAAGATAAAACACCCTTGAAAACGAATTTTGTTTCAACTCGATACCGTGGTCACTTCTGGAGAAAACAATTATTTTCGAAAAATGGCACAGTAATTATGCAAACACCCTGTATACAAATTTAAGTGCATTTTGAATTGAATAAAGTCATACGATCAATAGGAATTGCTAAAACTTCGTTTGATCCATAGTGTTTAAGTAAATGTTAAAATAAACATAGAAGACAGCATAATTAGAAACAGTTGTTATAGTCATCGGATAGGGGATGAAACGCCCTTGAAAACGAATTTTGTTTCAACTCGATACCGTGGTCACTTCTGGAGAAAACAATTATTTACGAAAAAATTGCACAGTAATTATGCAAACACCCTGTATACAAATTTAAATTCATTTTGAATTGAATAAAGTCATACGATCAATAGGAATTGCTAAAACTTCGTTTGATCCATAGTGTTAAAGTAAAAGTTAAAATAAACATAGAAGACAGCAAAAATTATAGTAGCTGGTATAGTCATCGGATAGGGGATGAAATGCCCTTTAAAATGAGCGTTCGAACCAGTCGATAGCGTAATTAGTTCCGGAGATATAGGGATTTTAATTTCAAGTCGATGTGGGGGCTAGTTTCGGAGATACGGGGGGTCCGAGCGTTTGTTTACGTTTCATTGATGCGAGATGAATGACCGCGAGCGCGTAAATAGTAGCGCGTAGTAAATTCTTGGAAACACTACGCGGAACTAGGTCACGACAGTCACGTTCGTAGGGTAGGTCAGCACGATGCACGAGCGAGAGAGAGAGGTCCGACGCGCTGGACGAAGACAGCGATAGTCGAATTAAAAAAAATTACCCCTTCACATAAATTACGATATCTCGGAAACGGAAAGTCCGATCGTCAAAAACCAAAAACCATCTTAAAGGGGAGGTTTTGCCGCTTCTAACGGCGGTTCAATTATGGATAAAACTCTAGTAGCTTCGGAATTACAGGCGTCTAAAGTTTAACTACTTTTAATACGCGTCATTAGACTGTTCTTTAGAACTTAGAAGCCCATATATTTGCAATTTACATGGGAAACTAACCAGAATTTGATACCAAATTATCTCCAGATCATTCGTGGTAGGTTTAGCGTTAAATAAATAATTGCGTGCTTCATATTTGGAAAGCATCGATTCCTAATAACGAGCCACGAGTATTGAGTTGTACGGATTACTTTGCTAACGTTTCTAGGTGTAGGCGAACGAGCGAAAAAAATGAGGTGTCGTTGGGATTTAGTTGAGCGGGACGGTGAGCGAATCGCCACGATTTCATCTTGACTCGTTTCCATTGCCGGTGAATCAACGCGAAGAAGGGGGGAGAATATATGCCGGTCACCACGGAAATTTCACGTGATCCTCCGTGTTATCCTGACCGACGTCTGCACCTCAATTACCGGTACTTTATGAATCAAACACACGCGCACGGTCGACCACGCGATTACCCGTAATTGAGCCAATTCTTACGGGGGTGGATGTATTTGCGGCCAATGGTATCTCCACTGACGCTTCCCGACATTTCATTCCGGGGGCCGGTGCGTTTCTTTTTCGCCCGTGAACCGTTCCGATCGCTTGCGTTACGCATACGGGGGAATCAGGCTTAAACGATTCGGCTAAATGCTTCGCCCGCCAGCGCGGATGAATTCGAACTCGTATTTTACCACAACGATGAACGCCGTTGTAATCGTTAATCGTGGCGAGAGGCTCGTCGTCCGAGAAAACTCCCACAACAGGTACGAGACCGGAAATAGTCCCATTTCCCCACGAACGGAACGTCGAATCCGCAATCCCGCGAACACCGGCTCTGGTTCAAGCTACAATTTCCGTTTCTTGCGCAGCGACGCCCTGGCGACGACGTTTAGCGCTCTCTACGGAAAGCTGCTGGTCGTCATGGGAATCGCCTTTCCCATGGCGGAAGTAATATCCACCTACATACCGCCGTCGTTCTACGAAGGATTCTACCTTTACCTCTACTTCGGCAGCATGATCTTCCTCGTCTACACGTACACGACGCTGGTACGCGACAGCAGGCCCAAGTCAAGTAAGTAGATCGCGATTCTGACCGATTCGCTCTTAATAAATCTCCATTCGATCCATAGACAAATGGAGTGAAATGTTCAAATTGACTTTCAGGAAGGTCCGCGACGTGTTGTTATACGAGTAGGTAATCCCTTACCGCCATTAAATCCAAATGTCGCTTACGATCGCTCCGTGAATCGGGTTTCCGTACGTAATAAAAACATTTCCGGGCCGCAAAGGGTTACAAATTCCGCAACTTTCACGCCCGATATTCGCCCTCCGCGTAAATTGAAACGATCGCGAGTTCGAAAGCTCGATGGCGTCGTCGTTACCAATTGCGTTTGAAAATCTCGCGACGCTAAAACGTCGGAGGTTCGAAGGGTGAAAGAATCACCGCGGAATCAGCGACGACAGCAACCGCGTCGTAAATTCAGCAGCCTCCGCGCGCGCGGTTCGGTCGCTCGCATTCAAACCGCTTCCGACGACGGGAAGCAAGCTCGGTCCCTGTTAAAATCGCATTAATCTTAACCGGCCGATTACCATAAATTTGCATGAGAAGAGAAGCAAAAGGACGTATGCGACCTGGACTCGTCGCGATCGTCGAGCGGCGCCGGCGGCGACAGCGACGCAGTCGACGCCGCCTATCCGCACGTGGCCGCCGTAAGACCGGCGCAGCACTATGGCAGCTTCTACCTTCGAATGGGCGCCGTGGCGTTCGGCATCGGTTCCATGATCTACTCGGGTCTCGAGTTCGGGCAGTACTTCGAGCTGGAGCAGAACACCAAGTGCCACAACATCATGATGGCCCTCACACCGGCCACCAGGATGGCGTTCATCTTCATCCAGATGTACTTTATATTTCTGAACAACGAGGTGAGCCACCCTCGATGCTTACACGATGCTTAATTTTCAGGTCGTCGATCGAGGATCGAAAATAAAACCCGTTCAGCCATTTGAAACAATTAAATGTGCTTGTACTATAAGTAGAAACACTAACATAGATGCTCGGTGTATGTTAGAATCTGAGGGTTCTCTGGTAGAGAGTATTCGACAAGTTTTTATTTTCGTATCGTTTCGAGATCCCTGTTGAAATATGGAACAATTCTATCGAGTATCTCTATCCTCGTTAGCGGGTCTCGAGATCTCGGATAGCAGATATTTGCCCAGAGAACCAATTAGTATTACGGTCAAGCATGCTGGAATCAATTATCCGATATTCATCCCAGGACGAGGAACTGCGGAAAAGCAATCGACTCGTTGTCCAAGCGTGTCGTTCCCATTCGATTCTATCGGCGATTAAAGCGAGCGTCTCCGTATTGGAAAGATTAGTTGATAATGTAAAAAAAAAACACGTTGGTTTTCTGCTCTCTGTTAATTGTTTAATCTTTTGCGAAGCGATCGCGTAAGATAATCGCGAGGGGAGTCGTCGGTGTAACTTAGTGGCTGATGGGGGGCTAAAAATAACGGGCGGCAACGATGGTGCAGAAATCGGTGCACGGCACGTAATGAAAGAGCGAAAGCGTCGATGCAAAACGAGAACCATCGGTGAAAGGTTAATGAAACGGAAGGGTGAACAACCCTGAAACTAATACTGGAACACGAGTCGTCCGTCGCTTACCCGGCAGTTCGCCGTTTCCTTTGCCGCGATGGATGAATGTCTAACGACGTCCTCGATCGCTTTTCATCGAAGCTCTCGCTGATTCCTCGAGGATCTCGATCCCGTTCGCCGTGCAACGACACCAAGTTTCGCAACGATTATTATATTCGACCCGAGCACCGTTCTTTCACGATTCCCAGGCGAATTAATCTCTGTTCTTTTTTGCCAACAGCAAATGAAAGTTTATCGTCATCGGGTGGTCGCGCGTTTCGGGCTGATGCACATGATTGGCACGAATCTGTCCGTTTGGCTGAACGTTCTCGTCCAGGAAACGAAACACGAGATACTGACGTTCTACAATCCGGAAAACAACTCTCTGCGAATCTCCCACAGATTAGGTACGAATACGCTTAAGCTTCAGACAGCTGGAAATCGTAGAACGTGTCGCAGGGCTCCCGGAGATTGAAACTGAAATGACGTTAGGTTCGAAGGGTAGTCTACATCTCGGAGGACAGAGTCACTACCACCACGGGGAACACCTGAGGCTTCCGAGGGGCTTGAAAGGACCGCATCACATGTTCGAGTGCCGTCGTACCAACATAATGGGCTCGCTGGTCCAGGACGCGAGCCCGTTTCTCTTTCCCTGCACCATAGAATACAGCCTGATCTGCGCCGCGATCCTCTACGTAATGTGGAAGAACATATCCAAGGCTGCGTTCTCACCGCCTAAGACGCTCACAGGATCGCGGCATCACGCCCACGCGTACAGGTAAATCCGACATCGAGGCGATCGATGTTTCGTTATCATCCTTGGAATAATTCAGATTTTGCAACCGTTTGAACTAATCTTGGTGTCTTGCAGAAGATCGCCGCACCACTACAGCGTGGACTGCGCCCGCGCCCACAAGGGCCTCTTCGTCGGCATTCTGATCCTGGTGCTGACCATCATCTCGTTGATCCTGTTCTTCGTGCTGATATCGCGCCCGGAGCTGGTCAGCTTCGCGGTCACCGAGGTGAACGTCTGCGAGCTGACGTTGTACGGGATGTCGACGATGGCCACGCTGATAGGGATGTTCCAGATGCGGAAGCTCCGCTACGACGGAACCAGGAACCTGGAGCTGGACAACATCCTGTTGGTAGCAGCTCAAACCGGCACGTTCATCTACTCGACGTTCACGATCATCGGCGCTCAATTCACGTTGGCGAAGCACACGGTCCTGGTGCTGGTGACGGCTCTGGCCAGCGTCGTGCAGACCACCTTGCAAACGATCTTCATCCTGGACGCGTCGCGACGAACGGTCGTCACCGCGAAGCAGATCAGACACAAACCGGGCCGAGAGATCGTCACGTTTCTGTTGGTCACGAATCTGGCGATGTGGGCGATCAACACTCTGGAGAAGTCGCGGGCGGAGTCGCACCCGGTCCAGCTGCACTTCTACGGCCTGTGGGCGTGGACGATCATCACCCACGTCTCGATGCCGTTGGCGATCTTCTACAGGTTTCACAGCACCGTTTGCCTGTGCGAGGTGTGGAAAAGAGCGTACAAGGTGAAACCGACCTACATGTGACGCAAGGGGTCGCGCGAGGTCGTGTGCAACACACCGGCTCCACAGAGACCGAACACCCTGCCGGCCAGGCTGGGCGCCATTACGGAGAACGATCCGGTTTACTTCATGTAATCAAGCTACCGGTCGCCCGAAGTCTTCTTCGTCCCTCGAACATTTTCGGAACAGACGCTTTCTCGAGTACGCGTTGCGAGCGTTTCGAAAGCCCGTTCGTCCTGCGTTCGTTGCTCTAGCTAGATCTCTAATTTCAGTTCTATCGAGACGTAAATTTCGTTGATGGTTGGACGGACGGGCGAGGAGAAACGCGGCACAATCGACGACGCACAATATTTGTTCTTTTTTACTAAGGTTAGACGCCGTAGACGATTAGAGGATTTTAGGATTTTATTCGGGAACGACGAGATTCTGTTCGATACGCGACAAGACGATTAGCGAATGAGAGGGAGAGAAAGGTGTTAGAGAGTGAGAAGAGAGGTCCTTTTTCTTTGGTCGCGACGTTCGTAAGACTGAGATCTAAGCGACCCGTTGGCTTAGGCGATTGGAGAAACGATTCGAATCCGCGTTAACCCGGAACCCCTGATCGATCTGTCCTTCGATGTTACTCGAATACTCTCACGGACATCCGTCTTCCACGTAGTACAAACTACAACTTAAATAGCGTCTCTCGCGTCCAAGTAGATGTTTCGATAAAGCTACCGATCGAGGGAAACAGACCGTCGATCCGACGTCCCCGGGCTATCGATCCGAGAATCCTTAAAGCGCCGTGCTCCGACGACCGAACAAACGATAGAAACGATAGTTCAACCAAGCGAGCGATAATAGTACAATAAAGTAATACGAATAATTCATGGACCAAAGGGACGCTCGAGCCAAACCGTCCGTCTGTTTCTCTCGATTTCGCGCAGCAACGTCCAGCGATCGATCGATGTTCGTGTTTCGAAGCAAACCAGAAGCCTTCGAAGGCCGGACATGGCAAGCACGTTACAGTTATCCTACACGAGTCCAGCCGTACAGCACGCTTGAAACGGCTCCTCGCACGACGTTGCGCGTCGATCACGAGTCCAAAAGAAAGAAAGAAAAAAGTAGAAAAAAAAGAAATCGTAGAGAGACAAAAGAGGGGAGCCTAGTCCATAAACGCGACGTTAGTGCAGGAGCATCGTAGACTTCCATAGACTCGAGATCGTAGAGCTAAAAGTTTTTTAGAGGGATGTTAGCTTGCGGGAAGAGCAACAGAGTACAACGGCGAATCATATCATTAAGCCTTAATCCGTCGAACGCGTTGTCCAAGGTCCGATAATTAGAGAGAATAGGGGGAATCGAAATCGCTCGTGAGCGAGCACCGACCATAATCAAAACCGAGACGACCTACTCGAGCGTGTTTCTTCGTTTCTTTTCTTCGTTGCACGCTCAACGGACAGTCGCCAGGGAAGATTGGGGGAGAGCGTGACCGATCCGTAGAGCGAATCGATCGGTGTGCAATACCGTTCGGCGAGAATGCGTGAATGGAAGTGTGTGCGAGTGACGATACGTGCGTGTCCTTTGGGAAACGAGCAGCGAAAATGGGGGCCGATGAAAGATAACAGAGCGACGAAAACGCGCGTTTCGCGCTCGTACGCTTCTTACGACGGACTGGCGTTCAGCGACGCCGTTCCGCACGGTTGAATCGGTTGATCTTTTTTTCATTTCTTGTAAGATACGATCCCGCCCGCTACGCGGCTGTAAATATGTGAACGCGTAAAAAGAATAAGCGACGAGATAAAGAACGGATCCTCTCGGTGTTTAGAGCTAGTTGTGTCGACATGTTTCTTCCTATATTATATATAATATATACACATATATATACAAAATATAAATATATTTATTATTGCGTTGTTCTATTATAATATTTATTGTATTATCAGATATAGGATTTACGCGCGACACGTTACATTTTTTGATCGGGGCTCGTGTCGAGATCCTTCCCTCCACCTCGTCCCCCCGCACCTCCTTTCTCTCTTCTACTTCGTCCACGATCGTCGGGGACGTTAAAAGACGCGCTCTCGATTAGCTCGCGGGACCCGGACCCCGTTCGATGTTGCAGCCGATCTCGGCACGAGTCTTAGCCGAAATTCAAAACCAAAAACCACGGGATCGAGCCACGAGGTAAGTCACGATTTCCGCAATTCGGGGTTCGCGAGTCGAACAAGGGTGCACGCGAAAGATACCCTTCTACGTCACGTCTTTAAACTGTACTTTTTCTATGTCCGCATACTCTAGTTCCTACGCAATGTTTGTACTCTTATACCCTTTGTACTATTTGTACCTTACGAATTGCAATACACTCGTCCGCAATAATAATCTGGCTCACGTTATTTACCCTAACCAACCCTCCACCATCCACCGTCGTTTCTTATTCTACGTTTCAGGTGGGTGCGGAAAGGATTCTAGCTACGTGGCAAACTGGATGAAAATAACACGATACAAAGTCGGCCGACGAAACGCAGCGGAGCGATCTCGCGTCGACCTGAATACCTCCGGATTCCGGTCCCGACGTCGCGCTCGTGTCCGTGATCTCCCAACGTCGAGGGAGGTCCAAGTCGAGTCCACGGTCATTTCGCGAGGGAACTCAATTCGAATCAAAAGGAAAGGAAATCGATCCGCGACGCGACTTTCTCCGAGCTCGAGCCGATCTTTCTGGAACGCGGTTCTTACTACGATATTCCGCGCTACGTTCATTTAGAAAACTCTCAAAAGATGGGCGTTGAATAAAAATCAAATGGTGCCAGCGAGTTTAAATCTAGGAAAAGAGCAGACGTATCCGTTCGTTAAGAAATCGTTCGTCCAAGTCAGCTCGGCTAAAATGCGGAGGTGCACCGTCGTGCATAAATTACGCGCAACGTATGACATTTAATGGAACCTTTTATAAGTAATTCATGCAATTGATTATTCGAGTTGACGTAAGCGGCGGTAGCGTCCCGTGCGCCACGCGTTTCGTTCCAAGCGATCGATTTACGCATTCTGAACGTTCGTTTTTACTTCTTGGGAAACAGACAACACGTGCTTTTACCCGAGAGTCGCGCACGTATCAATTTACTTCACGCTGTCCCTCCCTCGAATGAAATATTCATTGTTCCTAGCTTTGTTTCTAATTTCGACGTTCTCCTTGACCCGACGTCGATCTTTTTCCACGTTTTGCGGAACGATATTTTTGCAGCGAGCACGTCCGGAAATAAACGTGACAGCGAGACAGTCCGGTGTCCCCAATTAATTCCGCGTTGATCACGCTCTAAAATCGTCAAGGTCGGTCGAAGGGAAATCTTCTCGATCGTTGAGAACGTCAACCCTCCGATCCGTGGTTCTCTCTCCATCATCGTTTAAAGTTTCTTTGTGAGACGGTAAGACTGCTCGGGCAGTAACGTCTGCGCCGCAATTTGCCCTAATTAAGCGATCAATGAAAAGCATTTCAGCCGGAACGCGCGTGTGTCCGATGCGTACCGCGCTCGTGCACGCATCGATGTCTCGTAACGCGATCGAGAACGGAGTTACGTTACGCGTATCTTGTGACTGACTGGATTCCTGTCCAATCTCGTGTACTCCTAATCGAACGCAAGATATTGTCGAAATTATCCGCGAAAATTGCAAAATTCCAAGAATGCGATCTACGGAGAATTGAACGCGAGCGTTTTGGTTTGGCGTTGGATGAAATCTGCCGCGGTATGCAACGAGCGCACAGTTCATTTTTCTCGCGCCGCATGAGAGGAGGATAAGAGAGCGTTGCGCAAGAGAGCGTGCGAACGAAACGACCCTTTACACGGCCATGGTAATGTTGGCTCGCAGGTGGATCGGCGTGGGTGTGTATCTTGGTTTCCTCGCTGATCGCTCGCCGCTTCTCCCTTCCCTTTGTTTCCCGCCTCGCCTTTGACTCGCGGCGCAGTAAATTTGTTGCGATTTCTTTCCGCGAGCGATTCCGCCGGTATTTTATTTCAATTACTTTCACCGATTATGGGAACCCAACCGAGTAACGACCCAAACAACGATTAATATTCGTCTTGCTGGGAACAAAGACCGTGGCTAGATCATTTTCTGGGGGTGGTTGACCCTCTGTAATCGAAATTATATTCTAATGGCAAAGTTTCCGGAATATTTTTCACTCCCCCTAGAAAACTTGAAGTTAAGAAGCGAGAGGGGAGGGGTAATTGCTTTCTACAGTGTGTACAAGGTGTGTGGTGCGTGAGAGAGAGTACCCTTTGCATACGCGAACCAAACAACCTGGTGGCTGATCGTTCGTGAGCCGGTCCCCGTAATTAAGGGCTAAATTCGACCCTCGTGGGCGTTGTTAGGCTCCCGAGCGCTCGAAGGAGGGTGTGCTTTAGTCGTCAAACTCGCTGTAATACGGCCTCGTATCCATCGTTACCGTAGCCAGTCGAAATCGTAATTGAATAAAAATCAATAAAACCCGAAGGATATCAAAATTCGAACGATACGAGACCTACGGGGGTAAATAATCACGCGTCTCGGAAGAAGCGATCGTTGCGTCGAGCGGAGGGTGACTAAACGAAGAAATTCGATCCGCGTTACCTTCCACCCCTCCCCTGCTTTCATTCATTCGTACAAAATACATCGGTAAACTTTAAAGCGGCGCGACCCTTGTTTAAACAACCCTTGCATGATATTTTCTGTTTTACACCCCTTTGCAAATAAATATTTGCGTCTGAAGATTTAATCGTGGATCGAGCCTCGATTAAAAAACAGTAATTTTTGGTGTCGTTTCGAGGTCTGTCGCGAGACGGCGAGCGTCCTGAAAAGTTCCCCGTTGCACCGATTAAGCCGTCACTCCGGGCACTCGAGGCCACCCTCCGATGCGATTGCATCGTGGAAGATAAAGAGCCGGCGGTGTGGGTGCATTCATCCAGGCCGAGATTCGCCTCGTTCGCAGGTCCGGTCGGAGGCAGTTTCGACGACGACAAAGGGCAGAGAGAAGCAGCGTCGTCGACGGGCATCGATTCGACACGATACATACAGAGTCGACATCGTGGAGGGACGGAGACGAGGCTTTGCGAGGCAACATCGGGGACAGGCGAGCGTCACGGAGTGGAAAAGCGTATCGCGGGGGGTTAAGGTATTGATCGCGCTTCCCCATCGTGCATGGGGGTGGCTTCGCGCGCGCGGCAACCCCCATAGCCGTTTCGACGCCATTACAGCGGCAAGGATCGTTGCACGGGGACGAAGCGACGGTGGTAAACGCGGCCGAACTTCTCGAACCACGGACCGTAACAGGCTCCGGAGCGGGGGAGTCTTTCCCGTTTGAAGGGAAAAAGACGCTCGACGGGGACGCGCGTCGGTGACCGACGGAGACGGACGTCGCGGCGGTCGACGAGGCCGACGGAAAGGGAAAATTATCGGCGCGGAGGAGCGAGAAAGAGGCGAGGACGTGTACGGAGCCGCGTGCACGGGCAGGAAGGTCTGCGTGGTTCGAAGCTCCCGGGCAGAGCGCAAGCTCCGAACACCTTGTTTACATTCGTCCAACGCCGCAGAGGAAGCACGTTGCTCGAGGAAAATAATCGAGCAGCTTCGGAGACGCGACAGCGTGCCAAAGCTCGACGGACCCGCGACCACACGGGGAATACGCAGACCCGGAGACCGAACGTCGCAGTAAAATTTCCAACGGACTAAACGGCCAACGGGATATTCGGCGGACAAACGCGACCCATGGCGTTCCACCGGCGCATCGTCGTCGGTTAATGGACGGGTGAGTACGCTTCGCGGCCAAGTGCTCGTCGAGTGGCTTTTTCGGTTAGGCGTTTCGCTCCCTCGCGTACATACATACGTTGTTCGCGCGCGTGCCACGTTTTTCTGTGTGTTTTTTTTTTTCGAAACGCGTCCACGGAACGTTCGATCTATCTCGGGCAAGGTCAGCGTTTCGAGAACCTCTTCGAAGGTTCGTTAGAGCTTTTCCCGCGCTCCGACGTCTAATGACGCTCTCTGGTAAGCCTCGGACGAAACTGTAATACTTATCGGAGAACGGTGGAGATCGACGAAACTGGTCGAAAATTGACGAAAGTTCGCGCGATACGATCATGGCCAATTACAGAAATCATGGTCTGGCCGTGGATCGGTTTCGCGTGCGCGATAAAGAACGGCGATTCCCGGTCTCGCGACGCTTTCGCGGTCAATGACTTTTCAGCAAAACAATTTCCACGCGAGCTTTATCGATTTCCAAGCCGGTCGCGTGTAACGAACGCATCAGGTACCGGCATACATAACAGCCGGGATAATAACGTCGGAGGTGGAGCTATTTACTCCCGCAACATCGTACGATTACAGGATAACGGTTCTGATAATCGATAGGCGAATGTGACAGACGGATTGTCGTTAATTAACGTCCGCACGGCGGATCGCCCGTTGCTTCCCGATGCCTCTTGCACGGTCGATTTCTCCATCGATTTCGTGCTCGCTGCTTCCTGTTTTCAACGCGTCAATGTCTATGCCGTTTCTTCGAATCACGGTGTAAAAAATAGAAACGTTCGTTTGGCCTTAAACGTTCGCCCTTTTGCGCCCATTAAAGTTAGAGCGTATCTATAGTCTTAAGCGGCTCGAAAAAGTTGAAGTAAATATTTCATGTCGCGAACCAAGTTCTCGGTATCGTTGCACGTGTCGTGTCACGAAGAGCAACTTGAAAGCAGATGTTCGAACCGGCGGCTACTCGATTTGGCACATGCTTCGATAATAGATGTCGAGGTCACCCCGATGCAAGCTCAAGGGTATGCGGCGCCCCAGCTATCGCTGATTAATGGCGGCTCCAACCCCCATCGTGTACCAAGATATTTCGTAGATATTTCACCCTGGTTTATTCTTTTCCCGACCAAACAGTCCATAGAGAAACGACGAAGCTCGATCGACACGATCGAATCAGAAGCTCTGGTAAACCGATCGATCGGCCAAAAATCGATTCAAGGTCCGGCAAATAAAAATCACAGACTCGATCGAGTACGGCGCACACGTGCAGTCGATGTCTGGCAAACGTATATACCGGGTGTCTGCGTTCACCGGGCCGTGGCATTGAACCGCAGGGATCGAGGGTGAACGCGGACGAGGGGGCTGAAAATGGGAAATGGAAAGGGATGCTCGACCTCCGCGAACGCGAACCTTTGTTCCTTTGTTTCACTCTTTCCCGCCGAGGCAATGATAAAATATCCCCGCACAAAGGAGACGGTACAATTTTTATCAATCTTGCGATCCTACGAAGCTAAACGCAGTAGAATTCACGTTAAGAGGGAAACGAAACTCCTCGATCAAAGGTATTTTCCAATAACGGAATACACGTTCGTGAGTTATCGTTTAA